GTCACCAAGCGACAACTACAAGCGGATCGATTTCGACGTGATAGAAACTTCATGATGGCGATCATATCTTGGAACATCGGTATACGAATTTCGGCGAGTACAATTTTCAATGTCACGAACGCTGCGAAAAAAAAATCCCTCCTGCCGATTTCATCACCCGATAAACGAACGATAAAAACTATCATCGTCGCGCGTACATCGATACAAGTACAATCGGGAAAAAAATGCCGATTTCGAGTCCGTTGTCTCGATGCAACCTCGGCATCCTAACCCAAAAGACTGCGTGTCACGATTCAGCGAACGCAGCACCTGTCTAACGGAACTGGCGGCTAAAAACGCCGGCTAAAACCGGTATGCGTGAAACAATATCCTTTCTTGCCGCTCATCCTGCGAGCGGGACCGATACTTCAACTCGAGAAGCTTCAAAATCATTCGGGAATTCTCGATTCATTCAAAAATCATAGAGTCATATTACAAGAAACTAAGCCGGAAGAATTCAAAGCCACGAAGGATCGAAGGTTAACCAGTCTCCCGGAGGCAGACTCGTAGATCCTCGAAGATCCACGAGTCTTCCGGAAATCGACCGACGCAACGAAATCCAGCCAGCGGTCGGGTACGAGATAAAGGATCATCTGTGACTCACCTTGACAGCAACGCACGAGCAACGACGACGAGAGATCGTGGGGCGATCGGCGGGCGCAATTTTGTTCTGCGGACGACACACGTACAAGGCGCGAGTCGGCGACGAAGTGGCGCGGCGCAGCGCGGAATCCGCTCGCCTCGTCGTCGTGGGAGCCTCTCCTCCCGGCTCGGCCAATCGCCGCTCCTCTCGCCTCCCCCCCTCCTCCTGCCGCTTCGAGCGCTCGTTTTCCGTCGTTCCTCCACGTCCACGAGATCCTCCGACGTGAAGAAGTTTTCGGTTGCCACCTGGACTCCTCTCTCCTTCCGCGCGAGATCCTTGTCTCTTCGCGAATTTCTTTATTCGAGATCCCGCGCCTCTTCCGCGTTAAATGATTGATGACGGTGACGATCCCTTTCTTCGCACGATTCACTTTTCCGATATGTCCTTTCTCCTCGGCCGCGTTATTTGCATTCGATATGAAACAGAAGGTATTTAACGACAGATTAAAGAGGGGGAAATGGAAATCGAGAGAGGTGCAGCTAGAATAGATTAAGCTGAGGAGAGATATTTTTTTCCATATATATAAAAATGTCTTTCAACATATTCTCGGGGAAATAAAATATAAAATGCAAATATATTTTATATTGATTATATTGATTGTGAAAGATTGTAAGACTGCTTAAAATTTTTCAAGATTCCTAGAGTAAGATATTTTTCATTGAAGATTTTTATAGGATTACAAAGAAATAAAACGTCACGATTGAATTGATTAACGTCGAGACGTCGCGGAATCGAGTTGTCGATGCAAATTGAAATTTGCAGATTATAAAAGTAGCTGAATTTAATTATAAAATCTAAAATTAATCTCAAAGTCTGGTCTTTCTTTCCCAGTCTTCTTTGCGACACTTATCGATCGCAGGTTTATAGAACATTTTTGTAAAACGAGATACGCTGTACAGAATCTATAGATAGTTAATAAAAATATCTTTTTTATAAGAAGATATATTTCATGCTAAACAGGTATCGCATGTATTAAAAAAGTGTCGCAAACATCGTACCGGGAAGAACGTTTACACTTTATCGTTGATCGTGAAATAGACTGACCGACGCTCTTCTGCTCGTATCAAGTCCAAGGTTATATCACGTACAGACATATCGGTGGCCAACTACGAGCTTGCGTGTCATTCTATTGGATGCACTTCTTATGGTTCACTATGTGGCTTCGGCGAGACACGTGGTATTTCCAGAATCGCATAATCTTGAGTTTGCACAATTATTTCTGTCTTAAACAGATATTACAACATGTAATATACGTTTGTTTAGATAAAGGAGAAAAGAAAAAATAAAGCTACTCTATGAACCAAACTATTAAAAACTTGGAAATTGTACTCGAAAAAAGTGATTAATTGATATGTAATGTGTGTTTTCTCAATTAATCTTGAGAATTACTTTTTTCGACTACTTGACGATTTATAGAAAACATTTATAGATCTCTTATTAAAATTTTCTTATATAAAGAATATATTGTGATTGTAGTAAAAAAGCATCAATTGAAATTAACGTTGCTTTTTTGCGATATTGATGTGACCATAAAAATCTGAAGTTAATAGTAGGTTTGCAAATATCATAATTTTTCCTAAATTTTCCGAAAATTTATGTCGCTAATAAAAAGATTTCGTGTATTATTATTGAATCTTTTTCTATTCCGGCTCTTTTAATTTTTCATTATTTTAATCTTATTTTAATCCAAGCTAAGTTGTCGCTTCGAGAATCGGTTCGTTTCGCTTCCGTGGTATTCCGATATTCATCGAATATATAGGTCACTCGGTGGTTTCCGGGGAACGGTGGAATTCCGGGTGTGCTGTTACGAAATCAGCTGTGCGCCCTCTCGGGTTGCTCTAGGTCGCGCCAGTCGGGACTCCCGTTTCCACCCCCGCGATAGGGAGGAGGGAGGAGGGGAACTAAAGGTCGCTCTCTCTCACGAGTCAGATCAATACCAAACTACCCACATACCTACCTATACCGTTCCTGCTATTACGCGTCAATAAGAATATCCAGAGAAAATTAAAATCCTTTCATCGACGAGGACCTTTTGTGCTTTACCCGTCCCTCCCCCTTCAATCTCTCGTATATTCCACATGCGAGAAAGAGATAATTAACAGCCCATTTACATATGAATTCGCGCACGCCTCATATACGAGACATCCCTCTTTCTCTAAGATGGATCTTTCCTCGGCGAATTTAATAGTCACACGGTATTAAAGGATTTTTTCAAATAGAGCTTCGAAAAAATGAAACTTTGTCTTTTAATTAATTTCACGTTCTCACCTTAATACAAATTTAATTTCAAGCTCTCAATTATCAAGGCATTCGATATAAAAAATCAAAATTGATTACAAATGTATAGGGAAAATCAGAAAGCGATTATTAAATTAAAACGAAGAGGGATGACGTGAACTTGTATAAGTTAATTTTCTAAATCCTAATTTAATGAACTGAAAGTCTGATGTGCGACATTATAATTATATTTCCAGGAAGCCCGAGACTGATTGTAATCGGGAATGTATCGCTACAGCGAGTTCATTCAACGCTTTATCGACTTTTATACGCCATTCCTTTGAGAACAACGCGAAATCTAAACGATAAGCAAATATTTGTTTGGAAGCTAGTTCCCCTGGCGTGGCATCGAGCCGTCTATTTTGAAATTTTGAAAAACAGAACGATAAATCGCTAGAGGTTCAGCATTAAAGAAACAATGCGCTCGCGATATTTTAGCGAAACATCCGGATCGTGTTTCTCACAAACGAATTTATATAACTTGCGGTAACTGTAACAACCTTAACAAAATGCGGTGTATAAATTGAATTGAATTATTAAATCACAAAATAATATCAAGAATCTTTTAGAAAGCATTTCATTTCTAATTATTGCAAACAATTTGATCTCTCTCCCTCTCTCTCTCTCTCTCTCTCTCTTTTCTTTTGATTCTTATAATTATAAAAATATAATTAAAATAAAAAATAAAAAAACTTTATATATATATATATATATATATATATATATATATTAAACTAATTATCAAAATAATATTAAAAAGTTAATGCTATAAAATAACATATGTGTGAATAAAATTAATTTCCATCTGGTGATATTCAAATTCAGAGAGACCAGTGTCAATGTTGAGCATTCGTTACGTAACGTCTGTAAACATTCGTTGGACCGAGTGCGCTTTTCCGTGGAAATAAACCGAGCCGAGCCAAGAACGCACAGTGGTACCTTGAAAATATTAAGATATACACACAGCCACACTCGTACATAAAGTTTCTCTAAATTAAATGAGATATCACTCGTGCGAGACAAATCTACAACGTATGCATTTTCGCGCAGCTTGTTATTTAATCAAGTGAGAACCACTGCAGTCTCTCGGAACGGCCTCGACATCCGGTCATCGTGACTGACTGCCTTCGCAGAATTCTCACCCAGGAAGTAATGCAACTCGGTACATAAAGTTATCCTTATCAAAATTGGTTCATTCATCACGTTTAGAAATCGCCAAATGCTGTTACAACGCACAAGCGATTATTGAAAGCGAAAAATTCGAGACAAGAACATGATAAATTTATATTTTTTATAATACAATTTATATTAAAATTCACTTAATTTATAATTAATTGTATTAATTGTATTAATTGTATTAATTTCATGTTAAAATTTATATTAAGAATAATTTTTTTTCAATTAAATTTTTACTTTTATATAAACGTTTTATATAAACGTATTTTTCTCTTTTATCTCAAATTCTTTAAATATAATTTAGAGATCGATGCAATTAGACAATTCAATAGTTTTAAACTTGAACGCTAAAAATTCGTTCTTGCTTGTTAGTCGCGAATTTAAAAAATTATTTATAACATATATTATTTTTTAACGTGAACAAATTTTTCTGTTATTTACTACAGTTATTTCTTTCAAATGACTAACACTTATTACTTTACAGCCAGATAAAACAAAATTCCAAAAGTCTAATGTTTTTCTCAAAGTAATTTTGTATCGCGTAATAAATATAATTGCAATAAATCGTACAATAAATAATTATTTAATGTATAAAATAGATTTTTAGTAACTAAAAGCTATTTTAACAGTTTATTACAATTTTAGAGCTTTAATCTCCGAATAATCGGAATTTATTATTTGTTGGCATGTGACAAACGAGGCAGTAAAGTTGAAGTTTGCCGACCGTGATCTCGTTATGCGATCACAAAGCACGTAGCGTACGGGATCGAGAGAAATGAGAGGGAGAAACTTATCTACTAAATACTTCGCCAAGATGTTTCGCCAAGTGCTGAAAATGATTCTTTGTACATAACAGTTGACTCACATTATATCATAAACGCGGATGATGAGACGAATTCTCAACTCTCTTCAGGACAGGAGCCAATGGCCGGAAAAGGTTCGATCTTGGCTTACTACCAAGCGGAGAACTTTCCTCTGACATATGCTCATTCCCGCCGTCAGGCTCATCCGCGAAGAATCCGCGGATTTCGTCCAAGGTTGAACTTAACGAAGCTTTTAAGAGTCTGTCAGTTATTACTCGATTATTATGATCGGTTTTATTTTTAGTTGTTTCCTCGAGTCGTTCCGAGTGAACAAGGAAGTTTAAAATCTCGCACAAATCTGAAAAAAAAAAATATAACTGTTAAATATTGTTTTAATTAAATATTGTCTTTTTAATTAAGATTAAGATTATTTAAAAAAATTAATAACTAAAAAACGAGTGTAAAAGGGCGAAAATACTAAATTAAATTTCGTTGTTCAAATAATTGTTTCAAAGAGTATTTGGCGAAAACTACATTTAGCGTGGAATTTTTGCAGCCAGGGCTTCAGGATCTCTCAGAGAGGCCTGTGCGACTGCCTGTGGACCGAAATACGCAGTTAACTGTGCGAATGCACCGCGGGAATTGTTTGCTTTTATCCTTTTTTCTTTTTTTTATTCGTTCCGGCCACCCGACCATCAAAGATAAATCTTTGTAGTACAGTCGGTCCAAACAATCAGGAGATTTTCGGACATCAAGATAAATGCCATTTTTTACGAGATTTATCAAGAATCTCAAGAAAGAATTGTTCAAAGAAAGGCTCGAATTTGTAAAAAGTCAATTCATAACTTATGTATTTATCAAACGGAAAATTTTATCTCAATTCCTAAAAATTAAATTTGATTTTTACTATAATATTTAATATCTATTTAATATCTATAATGTATAAATAAATTTATATATATAATGTATAAATATGTATAAATATGTATAAATATGTATAAAAAAAATATGTATAAATATAATGTATAAATAAATTTATATATCTATAATGAAACACTATAATATTAAAATAATTAATGAAATAAATAATGAAAAGTCATAATAATAAGAAAAATTAATAAGAGATAATATTGTTATTTAAAATGCCAAATATAAATTAATTTAGCAAAGAATAAACAGTTTCATTGAAGATTAAATACATTGAAGAAAATGAGATTACATGAGAGCGCAAGATAGCTAGATTACTCGAATGTGTGCGAGCTTAATGAAAGATATTTGTGAATTGTAACTACAAAAATACGTTGAATCTGTCTGTTGATTTCGACCGTGAAATCGGTTACGTTATCATGTCGGCCAAGGTGGTTACTATTGCTATTTAGTTGCCAAGATTTTTGAAATTAATTGGGACCATTGCTGCCGCCGACACTAGCCGAATAATATTATATTCGCGATGTAGAAAAGGTCGGAATCGAGATGTAGAAGAAGTTAAAACGAGCTCTGGTTGTGACGTAGACGTTCAAACGTCGTTGGAGATGATCGCGAAAAGGCGCGCACGTGCCATGTACCACGTCTCTGCTGCGGATGATTACATAAGACTGGCTGAACCGCAAATCGATATCAAGTTTTTACCCACAAAGCTAATTATGCTTTAGATACGTTGCTTATTTCGTGGAAAATATAAAGCACAGAAAATTTATTTTCTTTCTCTCAAATTTTTAAATATGTATACTAATTATTATTGTCTTTAATCGTTTTAATTCCTTTTTAAAATTTGTTAGTAGTTGTATTTAAAGCGAATTAAATTTTCGCCAGAAAAATCCAAATTTTTAAATTTGAGATAAAATCTTATATTTATATATATATATATATATATATATATATATATATATATATGTAAGATTTTATCTCAAATTTGAAAATTTGGATATATATATTATATGGATTTTGTGTACACTGTAAATACATACATATATATATATATATATAAAAATTCAGAATTAATTTTTTTACAAAAAAAATTTAATCTTTTCATAAAATGTTTGATCTTTTAAATCCAGATTTTGTAAAAAGTCTCAGTTTATAAAAAGTACGCACTCATATGTATTCCATGTGTACACATATGTACTCCATACATTCTCCATATGTACTCCATATATTCTCCATATGTACTTCATATATTCTCCATGTAAGGCTCAAAAAGATAAATTTCTTAAAATAATCTTTCCTGTGATAACACGAGATATAAAAGATTTTATATCAGATATAATATCTTATTCAATTTCTGTAAATCCCATGTATGTGTTATCATTGAAATTCGCTCGAATAAATTTGTAAAAATACTTATATCCCACACGGAGATCTTTATTTTCTTCTTATCATAAAAATTTATCAGACGAGTTATCTGATGTTTAAAGAAAGTCTATAGTTAACAACCTGAACAATAAAGATAATGATTAATGTTTTACTTTCATTGACATACGTAATATAACTTAAATAGTCATAAAATAATAATTATTCCAGCAATAATAGACAATGATTATTCGCACGTAATCAATAATTATGTCAAGCAGTAATTTTATGTAGAATATTCAAAATAAAAATAAATCACAAGTTTAGTTACTTATTTTATTTTTCTACAGAAAATATTTAATATCTAAAAACATATTTTTCTTTTTTTCACATTTTATCATTTATAATAGATTAATTATTTTCATTAAAATAAAATATATAACAGAATGACTTTGCATTTGATAGATAAAATTTCAATATGAGATTTGTATGAATTTTTTTTTCTATTTCTTAATTTTTCTCGATTATATCAGTAACGATATTTATTTACTCGTATCTTGAATATTTTGATGCTGACAACTTTATTCGCGATATACTACACAAATACCTATGTATCATCTAGTAACGACAAAACATATAGTGATTCTCTCAAAATAAAAGCTTTTTTTTAATTTACAATGTTGTCCAGCCAACTTCCAGTTCATATTAATATTTACGAATATTAATTAATATTAGCAGCCAACGCTTTTCATGACAAAGTACTCTTCAACGCTGTGAATCCCCAGAAAGCTACGAAACTGATCTATTTTCGAGCTCGAGGACTGTTGTCAGGCAGACTTTCGACTCACTTTTCAAGGGGTTTTGAAAAGAACAAGGAATAATTTTCGCACAAGATACGAACAATATTTATACATATTTATACATTTAACTTCGATTTAATAATTCAAAATCAAACAAAATTTTATAATTATATAATTATATTATATACTAAACATAAATAATAGATTAAGAGCGGTTAAGTTTAAATAGATTAATATATAATTTAAAATTGTTAAATCATATATTAACGTGAGAAATTTTTAAATAATTTGTATCAAAAATTATGCTACGTTAGTATTCATTCGATTCAATATGCTAATAAAATATTAATTTTTTAAATAATATTTTTATAAGAAAATATTTAAAAAATATAATATCTTTTTATATTTAGGGAAGTATCTTTTTTTCTATAACAAATATAAAATTTAAAATATTTTTTTATTTATATTTTTTATCATATTTAAAAGATCACATAGATTCCGTGAAAATATCCAATATGATTAATTTTATATTCGTAGCAGTCTAGTCAGCTGAAATTATTGTATCGACTTATCCATGCCAATTTGTATGCAATGCATATTGCTTCTGTTGCGTTATATTTTACTCGCTAGCCCTATCTTATTTCCTTCGCTTTGGCTAATTCCATCGCGGGAAGCCCGGTGGACTGACCTCGCGAACGTCGACATTTCCCGACGTCTCTCTATGTGATATTTTGAGAGATATTCGTCTGAAGATTCTCGTCTGAATGTCTAACAATATCGAGTGATATTCAATGTCACGATTTTATCGTCCTGTGCATTACCTTAAATTATAGTAAATTTATTCGTTTAATGGATTTTCAAATGTAACTATGCATGTCATAATATTACAATAATAATTTATAATAATAGTGATAAAGCATAATTATATGCCCTCCATAAAATAGATTTTATAATAAATGATAATACATAAAAGAAAAAACAAGGATAGATATAAATACAATATTAATGTAATGATAGATTTTCTATATTCTTTTTCATTTTATCTAATCATATTGAACATTTATATTCACAAAATATTTGTTTACGATATTGTTGAATTTATATACATAAATGTTTAGATAATTAAAATTAGATAATAACAATATAAGAAATATACATTTAGAAGCAAAAAAGCAAAAAAAATTGATTATATTAATCCCTTTAAGTATGTTTTAAAAACGCTCGATGAAGTAAAAGATTTTTTTTAAATACTCACATCAGCCCGCCTCGAGCAATCAGCTGATTCAAAGATCCAACCGTCATCGAAGATGTATTGTTAAATCGTCACTAGATGTCACCATTTGCCGCTTTCAGCATTCAAACTGAAATCAGTCGATAAAGAATAAATCTCTTATAACTTAAATTTAATCTCTATTATAACAATATAAATGCAGTAATAAAACATACATTTACAAATATCGAAATATTCTTTGCATTATTTTATAATTAGTTTTATAAAAAGTTCATAAAAATTTTAATATATCTTACTTTTTAATGTCTTAAAATTTTAATGTTTTTCTTACTTTTTTCCTCGTAATAAAAATTATATAAATATAAATCGCATAAATATTAGATATTAAGAAACACATATTACTATATTTGCCATATTCGCGCAAAATTCTTTGTAGATTTTTATGAGAAAAAGTTATCCGTTTTTTGAAATAACTATTCAATGGATTTTGATATAAAGGACAAGGATAATTATATTCTCTTATATTTGCAATCAAATCGAAAAAATATAAAATACTTATTGAACAGTCTTTTAATAGAGATCTGAAAGATTAAATCTCGTGATCAATTGATCGACTTATGAACCCACATGATTCGTGAGAATGCGATTCCAGGACGAATCGTTTTCTCATGATGTATTGTCGGGGGTAAAAACGCGCTTGTCGTCCCGCATGTAAGATCGCCTGCCGTAATATAATATAATATAAAGAATAAATCTCTTGTAAATAAAACGTGACTGCGGGTGGGAGCAGTTAATACATGTCTACAAATCAATCTATGATTGCTTCTGTATTCACGAAGAAACGCGGAAATGCATCCATATGCAGGTCGCACAATGTGATCACTTCTTTATCTATAGAATGACACCCAATTTTCCCTAATCGAGAATTTTCAAGTTACATCCGCTTTCCCGGATTTTTTTATTCTTACTACAAAGAATTTTTTCGTACTTCCTATTATATAGAATTTTATATAGAATTGCTCGAAAAAGAAGAAAAGAATATGTTTTCTTCCCTTTTATTTATTTTAATCTTGTTTATAATTTATTGTGTATTTTCTTAAGTAAGTATATTAATATTACAAAATACTATTAGTATGTTGAATAAAATATCTTTTTTATAATTTGTGTCTTTTAAATTTGATGAATTGCGTAGAAATGTTTCTTTCTTTATACTTTCCAATGCGCGTGTAAATGTTTATATTCTCTTTTTTTTTCTTCGGAACGAATGAGTAATTTATTTCGATGGAACTATTCGAGATTACGATCGTACCTTTTGAAAAGGTAGCACCCACACGTCGATGAAAATATTTCGTTGGTAAATTACTCTCGCGAGTCCTCCAGGATCCCGTATGGCGAAACCATATGCTTCCAGGCCATTTATGCTGGCTGAGAGATGACTCTTTCTGACACGCGACCCGCAGCTAGTCTAAATTCTCTCTTTATCGAGAAAATACTTAATTCTCTCTTTATCAATAGCCGTGGAATCTCTTGTCGTCTCGTTGTCATGAAATGAGGAAAGATTATTTATTAATACACATACATAAAAATACAATTTAAATAATTTTAGTAATTTCCTTTTCTTTTTAATTTTTTTTCTTATATTTGATATATTCTTCACAATATTAATATCGCACGATTATAAATAAATGTGATGAAAGTATATATCATATTACGAGTAACTCGGTACGTAGAAACCAACGGGGATACAAATACGACGGATACGAGCGAGTGTATTCGCCGAGAGTTAATCAGGATGCGACGTCATCGTTTAAAGCGTCGCATTTTCTCTCACTTCGAAGGGCGATATCTATGAGAGCTTGAAATCGCGTGATATGCACTTAGTTATTATTAGATATAATTCCGCGAAATATATCGCGCCATTTTAAAATAATCTTCAATTCTGAAGACAAATCTGAAAATTCGATACTTTTATATTACAATTTTCTAAAAATGATTATTATTTTGCTCTCTTTTTTGTCTAAAAATAAGTTATTTAATATTATTATAAATGACATATTTCTATCTTATCTTTATACATCAACTTCATATATCACATTGTTATATTTAACAAACTTATACTTCTTAATTACAAAAATGTGATCAAATATGTAATGATTGCAAAATAAAATCGATATTTAATATAATGAAAACGTTAATGTCTTTGAAGGTATACCTTATATATCTCACCTGTATTCAGAAGTTTGGAATGACATGTAGACAAGATTCACATGCTGGATCGCGTGCACAAACATATATACATATGTACAGAGAGATTTTATTCTCTTTCTCCGAATATACATCAATGGATTTGAATTCTCATGTTTAATGGTGTATAACACATTAGAATGCAGCTACAAATACATATCAAAATATGTGAACACAACATGATATATTGCATACATCTTATATTTATGTAATAACTACTTTGATTATTTTCATATCTAATAAATAAATTTTTATAATCGTAACTTATAATATAATATAATAATAGAAAAAAAAGAAAGAGAGAAAACTTATAAAATTGTATAAGAAAATGTAATAAAATAAAATAATTTAAAAATATTTATTAAAAATAAAATAATAAATATAATTTGTAACTTATAATAACATTGCAACATGAGCAGAATAAAAATAATAATTATCGATTATAATCGAATATGTTAAAAAATAATAAAATAAAATCAGTAATCTGTCATTTTACACGTTCAAAATTAGTTTGCAAAAATTGATACTTAGGGTGTTTTCTAGCTAGCGACACAGAGGACACACAATCATTTCATCCTTGTTTATATTCGGCAACCAACAAGGATGAAATGATTCACTGTCTTCTGTGTCGCTAGCTGGAAAACGCTCTTATTTAGCAATCACATTATTATATAAAAATGTGCTAAGATGCCATTCAAAAGACATTTTCTCTTTCTCTCTTTGTTTCATATCTATATCTATATAAGTTTGTTGAGAGTTTGACAAACGATAAGCAAAAATCCACTTTGCTGGTCGAGACAGTTACAAATACGATCTCAGTTGTCGGCAGGAAAAGCCTGAGAACGTAACATTTTGTCGATGATATTCGCGATATTAAAAAAAAGAAAGAGAGAGGGAGAGAAACATAGAGCGGAGGTTCCCCGTTGCCTTCGCGCAATTACGTCCAATTGAAGCAATTTAGACCAATTGAGCGTTAATAGGCTCAATTGATGGATCTTGCCACGCAGGCAACATGATGCGTTCGTCGTAAAACCCTCCACATACTTATGACGTAAAAAATAAGAAAAAAATACAAATAATATGTAGATAAAAAAGAAGACCGAGTTCAAAAGTTAAAAGGCCGCACATCCGCATCTTTTTCTCTGTCTCATACTTCTGATAAAGTTTCCTCTCGTGACGAAAATTATATCGCTTAGTGCTTTTGTATAATCTATGAAATCTTATATGTGCTCAATTCAGAATTCTATGTCTGCATTTGATATATAGTAATCGACTGAACATGATATTTTATTATGATCGTAAAAAGATTTCTCAAATTTTACTAAGATTATAAACTTTTATTCTTAATTACGATCGTGCAAAATCAAACCATTCGTTGACCAACAAATTTGTATCATTAATTAATTTTATATGTCATATTTTAATAAATATTTTTTGATTATAATTTTTACAAAAATAGTTGAATATATGTATTTTGATTTTTGCGAGTGTCCTGCGAATAGTCTACAATTTACGTGTAAACTATATAATGTAAAATGCTGTAAATACGAAATGAAATTTTATATTTAAAAATATTTAAAAATTTGTTCTTTATAATTGAATTGTATTTTCTTAATTTTCTTGTCTTTGAACATTTGATGATATATATATGAAAAGAAAAAAAACAAGAAAGCACTTATGTATAAAACGCAGTTGAAAAAATATAATACTCCGAAAAAATACTCCGAAATCATTTATGTGTATATTGTGATGTCTCTTGAGTTCGAGAGAGCAACGGAAGTGAAGAGGTGGAGTTGAAGAGACCGATCCCGCCCTGCGTAAAATAGAGGGGAACGCGACAACGTATCGCGTTCATCTTCTTCTTTCATCTCCCTTTAGACATCGTCCAACCACGTCGCAGATGGAGTGGGGAACAATCGACATCTACTTCCTTACGTGTTTCACGTCGCTTGTTCACGTTGCGTCCGTTTGTTTATCAAAATTTAACATGGACGTAAGAAATACAGGACAGAGCATAAAGTTCTCTTTTACAACACAAATGATAATTTCAATTATTAAAAATGTACACTATCTGCTGTCCTTTTGGAAAGTTAATAATTAATTTTAGCAAAAAGATATGTAGAAGAAAAACGCAAGCAAATCGTAATCTTATGTATGCACTAGATCTAAAATTTAATTTAACATATCACTTTAATAAAAAAAATTCAAAATTTAAAAAAATATTTAAAAAAATAATCTCAAATTCTCCATTTTCTAATTTTGTGTACATATTTTTATACCGTCACTTGCAAATTATGATATTTTGCTCGAACAAAATGACGTGTGATGATCCATTGCTAGCTCTTTAAATTAGATGCACTGTCGGTGCTCGTCGTGCTCACTTCCGGTGACGCGAAAACACGATGGCGGATAATCAGAGAAATCACTTCCGTTTTCGTTCTGCGAATCTTCTTCGGTCTCTCCTTTGAGCTGCTGCAAAACTCCTGGGCATGCATCTAGTCCGTTACTGGCAACGACGGCGATGACAGCAAACGTATGCCTTATTGTAGGTCATGTTTACCTCGAAAGGTAACAAGATGGAGGACGCGAGATGCGGATGCGAGAGAAAGTCGCGGATGCGGAGGGTCAGTGCAGGAGGCTGCGTTACACTGCAGCCCGACGCTCACCGGACCTTCACTTATATCGTCGCTCGGCTAATAACGCTAGTAATGTGATATGATTAGCTTAGTTGAGTTCAGTTTAGTTCGTATTCGTTCAATTTAGTGGTTCGCCAGCAAAATCACATCGAGTTAAACCCATTTAGGCCAGTTAAGTTACCGACTTCTCCTCGTTCTCTTGCGGCCGTCGCCGCCGCCGCCGTCACTGCGTCAGACCGACCTCCTGGGGCCCGATAACTCCTCGACGCGCGGAGGTACCTCGCATGTTCTAGGATATGTCCTGGGCCCGCATGAGATACAGTCTCGCCGCCGCGAAATTGGAAATTAAATCGCCTCAGGGGTTCCATCATCGAGACACTTCACTCATTACATTGCGTCTGAGATCCAATTGATCTCGAAAGTCTAAAAGTACGATCTGGAATAACAAATAACTTAAAAAGCTGGTGTAAAGATATAAGCTTAAAAGAGGAGTACTTTTACAAATTTCTATACAAAGATAGGTAAACAGAGAGTGTATTTGAAATGACTTTAATTATTAGTATTGATATTTAATTATTATATATGACTTTGAATAAAAATTTCTTTGATTATTCTCTTAAAATTATTATTTTAATTATAATACCAAACGTAATGTAAAGGCTCAGATATAAACGATATATATGAAGAGAAATGGGCCGTTATGAGCCAAGCGCAGTAAACAATGCAAGTGTTTAAGAGTATTTAAATTATATATATAATTCGTCAACATCGACAGCCATAAGGGTAGAGCATGACTAACGTATGTTACAAAATCACAAGTTCATTTAAAAAATTTTTTTTCCAATAAATTTTTGTTAAACAGATGCTGAAGATGGTCCAAATTAGGACCGAAACATACATTAAATAATTTAAATACTTTTAAACACTTGTGTGCATTGTTTCATGGCTCATACCGGCCCATTTCTCTCCACATATATTAATTATAATAATTTAATTAAATTCTTATGTGTTTCAAATAAATGTTCAAATGAATTTTCAATATATTCGTACCTATTATCTTCATGTCAATCTCGTAAAAACCAGAGAAGCGATTAGATATACAGGTATTTTAGATCGGGTGGCAAACGGCTGTTGCGTTTATCATTAAAATGACGGAATAATGAATACATGATGACGCAGTCACCCGCATTATCGCACCTTTACTCCAAAAGTCCTATATCAATTATCATATTCCCCATAATCGTTGTTCCCCCTGCCGAGTCTCTTCTACAACAAAAACGGCTAACAAACGAGCATTTTTCATTGATCGAAATAGATATAAATAAAATTTGTAAACATTTTTAATCAAGACATATAATAACTGTTAAGATAATAATGATATTGTAAAACATGTAGATAAGATCTTAAAAAATATTACTTTTACTTCTGAAATTGATAATTCAAACGTATAAGAAAATAATGAGCCGAGGTGATGCTGAAGACACGATTAAGGTCGATCGGGAACGGGTGATGATCAGGTCGGAGAGAGTCAGCGCGGAAAACGCGACGAAATCGGCGCGCATAGAGACGCGCGTTAATTACCCCAACGACGAAAATTAGCGGTTAATATACACGCGTATACGCAACGGGGAACGGGGGGTGGTTTGATTGGGCCAATTCGAGGCAATTCCTGGCGATTGCTGATTTCATTGAGCTTGCGCTTAAGAGTACTTTGGCTCAGTGCCACGCCAACTGTCGACCAACAGACATGGATCTCTTCTTCGAAGGTACATCTCGATGATCTCGTTTGTTGCATATCGATCGATCGGTTGAGTGTTAACGTGCGCTATATCTCTTGTCTCTATTTCTCGTTCGCAACGATTTCGTGCGTCGCATCAATTTCCTCTTCTCCATTGGATCATCTGTTAGAGAGAAGAGACGTCTGTTGTGCAAACGTATTGTGTGAGAATTTTTGTAAATATAAATTAAAGGAGCGAAAAAGAGAGATGAAAATGAAGACAAAGGAATCGCGAATTAATTTAGCAAAACGTGTAATTAGTCGAACATATATTTGGAATGTTGTTTTTTATTTCATTAATAACTCATTCATTCAATCGAACCAAATTTCGCAAGGAATTATGAAACAACAAGAGACTTACACATTGTTCGCATTATTGTGTTGTATCTGAAAATTTTGAACATTTAAGAAAATGATATAAACAACAAGAAGAGGAACATAAACGCAAAAAGATTCACAATAAATTGAAGGTAAGAAAACAAATAATGCAAGTTAATCATCATCGATAGTTTGTTTTAGATTCTGTAAATTAAAGAAAAGAAAATATAACAAGATATATTAACATAATTCCTATATAATAGTCTTTCGTAATTCCTTTCTAATAAACGTTGAAAATTTATTCTTGAAGTTTATTCTAGAATTCTTTTCCCGATTGTTTCTCTTTCCTGTAATTCTCTTTAAAATATATTTCATAGTCTTATATTTCATGTTTCTTTTTCATTCCTTAATTCACTCCAAGTCTCTATCTCGCGAAAGTAGACGAACTCACCAATTCCCACGGGAGAACGATTTGCCTTATTTCTATTCCCACGAGCCTAACGTTAACCCTTGCGCGGATGTTCGCACCCCGTATCATCCACCCCCATCCACACCGGCGTCGTGCGAATAAACCTTTTTTTTGCGCGCAGGTTGACAGGAAGAGGGGGCGATCGCGCTCACCAGGGCCCGCGGTGGCGAAGGAGGGCTACGGGAACGATGGCAGTGGACCGCGAGGGACAGCATCATCACGCCTGCACGAAGCAGGATTGGCCGGGCCCCGAGTGTGGGGGCGACCTGGGCCGGCGTGCTTCGGAAAATATAAGCCTGTGTGAGTGGCGGCTGATTAGCCAGAGGCTCAGGACGGAGAGTAGTGGCAAGAGTGTCCCGAGACAGAGAGAAGAGAGGACGGGTGTTCTCTCGTATCGGGGAAGACACGGCGTCGTCTGTTCGGTTCATCCAGTCTTCCAAGGTCTTCTGCCTCGTATAATAATCGGCCGGCGCGTCGCACCGAGTTAACGCCGCTTAAAACTAATCAAAATTAATCATAACCCGGGCAACAATTGATCGCAATTGCCGCGTGCGCGCGCTCCATTACGAGCAATCGGCTGCAACATTGCTTCCTCTTTTTTTTCTTCCATCAGCAGGAAGTGGAAAGAAATCTCGAAGCATCCTCGCAATGATGAATGCGATCGATACCAAAGTGTGAACCGATCTCTCATCCGACTCATCTGTCCTCAGATTTCAATTTAATCGGTAGACATCCTCGGAAACGTAAATTGATGGAAGATGCTTCACGGAAGATAATACCAAGTGCAGATTTGTGATATTCGCTACATTTAATTCGATTAAAATTCGGAAATTGGAAATTAAGACACACACAACGTGATTAATTAATACTCATAGTGACTAATTAATAAAGATTTCTTAATATAAAAGAAGTACAAATCAAACGCAAAATGCAAATGAAAATGAAAATTATAGTACATTAAAAAAATAATAATTCAATATTATAAAAATTATTTCGTAAGTTCTAGTATTCTAAACAAATAGAGAGAGAGAGAGAGAGAGAGAGAAAGTGAAAATGCAAAAGAGAGAGAATTGAATTTTACATTTTGACGAAGCACAAACTATTGCGAAATTTTTCAAAACCTTTCCGTAAAAAGTTAAGAGATTTTTCAAGATGGATGGTGCTCCCTCCTGGGATGATCCGCTTTTCTCGGATTTTGGAGCACGCAGCGGAACTTCTGGAACTCACAGTATCCAAGTAATGCTGAGTTTGCACGGTAACGGCGGCCATCATGGAAGCGGCGACTTGTTGCCGACCGGCGGCGGTCAACTTCACAAGCTGGATTCGTCAAACAGCCCGTCACCGCATCATCAGGCGTCGCAGCATCAACATCATCTGCAGCAGCAGCAGAAGGAGCTTAAAGAGCTCGAGTTGTCCGGCATGTACGCGCCCTTACCGCCCCAAACACAAGACGTTACCACTTCAACGTCTACCAGCGTCACACCGACTTCGACGAGTCTACAACAGGGTCTGCAACTTGGAAACGCGCTCAAGAGGAAACCGGATGATCCGATCAATGCGCTCACCCCAGGTAATTTCCGAATCTTTTGCAAAGATCTTTCTTACAGAGAAATTTTTTTCATATAGATATTTGTCTCTTTTGAAGAGAAGAGACCGTGCTGGTCTCTTCAATTTTTTTTATATAAATATACTATTTCAATATCTGGAAAAATTTTGAAAAATTGTAACCGATTACTTTATATTATTTTGTTATTTATAAACTTTGCAATTTTACATTTGATTGACGAATGAATATTAATATTGCAGTTAGCAGCGAAGCGCAGCCAACTAAAAAAGATTCGAAAAAGAAGACTGATAACAATAACATCAAGAAGAAAAAAACGAGGTATATAATATATATATGTGTATGACTGTAACCATTAATTTTTTATAAATGTCCTTTGAAATTTGTACACACATCTGTATTATATATTCATAAATATCTAATTTTTATATATATTTGCCTTTTTATATATTAATATTAATATATATTTAAATTTATGTTAAAATCATAGAAGTAAATTCAGATTTCTCTCTTTTTCTCTCTCTTCAATTTATCTAATTCGTCTAAATGCCTAAATATAGAAATATAGAATATAGAATTTATAACTTACTCTTGATTTCTTTAGAACAACTTTCACGGCTTATCAATTGGAGGAACTGGAGAGAGCGTTCGAGCGGGCTCCTTATCCGGATGTCTTCGCACGCGATGAACTCGCGTTGAAGCTCGCGCTCTCCGAAACCCGCGTTCAGGTGTGGTTCCAAAATCGTCGGGCAAAGTGGCGGAAGAAGGAACCGCCTCGCAAGACTCCCTACATGGCCGCGGGTTCCGCCAGCCCCGGACTATCAGGTAAAGTTGCATCTGTACCTGTAATATTCAGTATTATCAATACGCGTCGAAATCTTAAGTATTGTCAATTTTCGTCTAAGGAAAAAGAATGAAACCGAAAAATATATATATATATATTTATTTATTTGTTTATTCATATTTATTCATATATATATATTTATTTATTTATTTATGTGTGTGTGTGTGTGTGTGTGTGTGTGTATATATATATATATATATATATATATATATATATATATATATATATGAATAAATATGAATAAATAAACACAGTAAAAGTAGAGGAGAAAAAGTTGGCTGACGACTATATTTAAAAATTCTTTTAACACACGTACTCCTCATCATCTTTCTCAGGCTCCTTCACGTCGCTCAACAACAGCCTGAATCCGTTCGCGTCACCGACGACGGCGGCGGCGCCGCCGGACGCGTGGGCCTATTCCCCGGCGGCGTACGACTTGGGGCCTCACCTCAACCTACTCAGCCCGTCCAACTCGTCTTACTCGACCGCGGCAGCGGCGGCGGCGGCTGCGAGCTTCGGCAACAACGGCAACATCTCGTACTCGTCGTACACGAGCATGCTGCCGACGCAACACGAAGCCTCGCTGTTCTCCGCGCCGACCGGGGCTGGCAACACCATGCGCGTCCACCAGGACTACATGAACCCCGGTGGCGGCAGCCCGCCCCCTCCCCCCGGTGGTCCCCTTTCCCGCGCCGATTATCAGACCATGGTGACAGCGACGCACTCACCGCCTACCCACCTGGGAGGATCCATGTCCGAGGACGAGCACGGCGGCTGCCTCGCGGATAAGTACGGCCACGAGCAGACGACGGCCGATTACGGCCAGCAGCAGCAACAGCCGCCACAACCCGATCAGAAGCAGGACTATGGCATGCACTCGCCGCAGACCCGCCAGGCTATGAAGGATGGCCAGGTGATGGTCAAGAGCGAGCCCGGTAGTCAGCAGAATTACGTGCAGCTGCCTCCTTTTCTGAACTGACTCGCGGCCTCCTCCGCTCTAGATCCCTTCTAGACGGCTTTCGCGACCTACACTCCGTGTTTCGCAACCAGCGCGGGGAGTATTAGATCCTGGAGACGGTCTTGGATAACTACAAGCGTGATTAATCGTATTATTGTCATGTTAATTGATATGGTTAATCATATTGTTGTATATTGCTATTGTCAATAATTGTTGATAACATGGCGGCAATCTTACAGATAACTAACTAATTATCTGGGATTACTCGCTCGACTTGATTTACTCGTAGACAAAATTTTTCATTCATATGAAGAGCGTTGAGATACTTGATGAAAAAATATTCGGTGAGAGTCCAAGTCGATGTATACATATGTATACATATGTATTTCGATAAATGTATATTACGAATGACATAATCCAGGATCGGGCTCGCGTTGAAACACGCGCGATATTTTTGTACTTGTTTTGCATGTGAGTGATCGCGAGAAATTGCGTCGCGTCGCTTTACGCGTAAGTAGTTGATCAAATACATATTATATATAAGGAGAAAAAATATATTAGGTCATGTGTAAAATATCTTATTTAAAGAAGAGAGGGGACTTGCAAGAAGTTATACCTTTTTGCTGCTCCATTATAATTTTTCATCTAAATTCGCAGAAAATTACCTAAAAAGTAGGATTGATATTCACTTCGAGTGTGGTGATTATTTACGTATAGGAAATAGAATAAGAAAAAAATAACTAGGATGTAAAAGCGCTTTCCAGCGACATCTCGTTGACAATTGTCAACATTTGAAAACTATTTTATTCGTGTTTCTCGACCGTCGATAAGTGTAAAAAGAAGTATATCGAGGAACAATTTTATCAAATCATTTTTCTGAATCTCTTTGACTAATGAAAAAAGCATATCTTAATCGAAATTGCCCCAAGCAAAATGTACTATTATATTAAATCTGTAATATTATTAATTCAACATGCGACATTTTTTTTAAATAATCAATGCCTTATACAGCCTTGTATATCAGAAAAAAAGTAGATTTTAATCAAAATAATCTCGCTTTGTATCTTGCAATATACAATTTCTATGTAAAATTAATTTGTAATAAATTAACAATGATAAAACCGAAATAATCCCTAAAAGAATTTCTAATAGAATGATAAAACTGAAATGAACTTGCCTTTCATTGATTTATAATATTTAATCTTTATACCAAAACTTTATAATAATAAAGAGCAATGAAATTCAGGCATAAATATTCTTTAATACTATAAAGAAGGCTTAGGACAAAGAAAATCGCATTTAGTATTACATGTTTTACAAAGCTATAATTTTAAAGAACAATTTCTGAATATGCAAACGTTTCAGTCTCTTTTGGACCATCTTTAGTATGACAATGCTGAATATTTAATAGAACATATAAAAGAAATTAACACTAAATAGATATAAAAGAAATTAACACTAAATAGATCAAGATATAAAAATAAAACAAACAGGAAGTAATACTGTACAAGTTAAATAATAAAATTGTAAAGTAAACATCGATATCGCGATGGAGTCGATGAAAGTGACCGATAAAGATTTAAAATTTAAACTGACTAATGTGCAAAATAATGAAACAAAATTTTTGTGATTCAAGTCCTGTTATTTTAAATTTCGTACGATGTTAAACATTATTTTTTCATCCTCTTTCGCAATAGACAACGATCTGTTTTTTCACAATCTTGTTTATGGAATAAAAAATATAATGTTTAACATTGTATGAAATTTAAAATGAGTGGACAGTGCTTGCACAAAAATTCTGCGTTATTATTTTGCGTATTATTCAGTTAAAATTTAAAATCTTTATCGGTAACCTTCACGATTCGATTGCGATATCGATGTTTACTTTACAATTTTATTATTTGACTTGTACAGTATTACTTCTCGTTTGTTTTATTTTTATATCTTGATCCATTTAGTCTTAATTTCTTTTATATTTTCTATTAAATATTCAGCATTGTCACATTTAAAGTCCAAAAGGGACCAAAAAGTTTGTATGTTCAGAAATTGTTCTTTAAAATTATAGATTTATTTATCCAACACATAATACCACCTTCGATTTTCTTGGTCCTAAATAAGCCTTCCTTATAGTATTGATTTATTGTTTGGACCAATCACACGTAGATTTATTTATTTATTTTATTATTTTATATATATTTTTAATTCATTTTGATCTTATATTCTTTATATTCTAAATATTCTTTATATTGACTCATTATTTCATAATGTTTTATTTACTTCGTTTGAAGTATATTGCTGTAGTTTTACGAATTGGACCTATTATTAGATCGATGCAATTTTTATTTATCTATGAAATAATTTTTTAAAGTATATATTATGTACAAAATATTTACATATATCATGTATGCTGCCATTTTGTCATAGATATCTCGTCTTCATCATCCAAATCATCATGATTATCCATATCATTATTGTCTTTGGTATTAAAATCATCATTTATATCGTGGCTATCTCCACTATTCAAATAGTTATCGGTACTTTGTACAGTATTATTGTCAATGTCTTCCACAACACTTATCTTTTCCAAAGATTGTTGCTTTACATCGTGTCCATTACTCCAAATGCCGTCGCCTGTGAAATGAGTATCTTTTTCCAGCATATACAGGCATAATGCAAGATACTGGCCATTTGTAAATGAATACTTTGTATTCTGAGAATAATGCTGTTTCAAATCGGCCAATATCTTTTTCACCTTAGACCTGGAAATGAGATCTCCGATTAGTTGTCTATTAATTTTTTAAGCAATTAAATAGAAATACAGTCATTACTGTTTATAAAGTATGATGTGTATATTCTGGCATATTTCGTTTATCGTAAAATGCTGCTTTAGGTATTGAAACATTTGCTTGATATCGACAAATCCAACCGTTTTCCAATGCGGATGTCTTGCCAGTAAATCATTTTTATCCACTCCTAGTTCTTGCATAAATATATGTCTTAGACCTTTTTTGGATAAAACTGTACCATTATATAGAAATCTAGAATAAGAATAATATATATAAATATATATATATATATATATATATATATATATATATATATATATATATATAATGAAGTATAGTACAGATTTCGTTGATATCTTAGCTATATATTTTTTTTACAAGTCTTACCTTTCCATTTCGCTTGTTTTGGATAGAATCGTTTGTGGACGAATCCATTTCGAGCGATTTAGAGTATGAAGATAATTTATGCGATCTTTTGCCATTACATTGTGAATGATAATTTGTAGGATTCGAGGATGTTTGCACCATATATACAGATCCGGATGTCGATTTATCATTTTCATTCGTTCAAGGAAAATGTCATTACCTATTTCGAAAATCCTTATGAATTTCTTTACATACTCATCAGGTATCTCATATCGTTTGAATGACATTAATAATCGCTTAATATTATCAGCATCTTGAAAAAGTATGCGGGGGTATTTTCTTAAAAATGTTATGATTGGAATTCCACAAATATCTGTAAAACTATTTAATAGCGACTTGATGTTGTCGGCTGAAGCAGTGATAACAAAGGGATTCCTTTTTATCTATGTACAAACACAAAGGAGAATCTTATAAATATTTTATATGATTAGTAAACTGCAAAAATTTAGAAATAACATAAAAACTTTAAGATTCAGAAATCAAATTGAATCAAATAACTTGAAAAAAATGTTGAATAAATTTGTTTTCAATTATTTTAATTTAATTATAAAATTCCTTTATGAAAAAATAAGATTAATTTGAGCATTAAGAGTCATACTCACCAATTCCTCATTGTAATCGAGATTAATTCTGAGTACTTTTAATGTTTCTGCAATCATACTTATACTCTTAAATTTCATATACTCGTTTAACAATATCTTGTCATCTAAATATGGCAAATCAAATACTCGAGTTTTGCAATGCAAGAGACATTTCTGATAGTATTGATCAATTGTCAATTTGTTACTCGATGATTCCAATTGAGAAATATCATTTGGAACTTCACAACCGAGTCTGTCAAATATATTCTTGGCAATGTTTTGTTTAGGAATATTTGTCTCCTCTTTGAATATAGATATACGTTTGTGAAAAAGATAGATGATTCTAAAATTTCAAAAATTGAAATATTTATACATTTAGCAAAAATATATGATCACTCTGTATCAAACTTACCTGGTTATTAAAGTTGAATTTAAATCTGATATTCCTATGTCTTGCAACACATTGATTCTATGTTCTAGTTTGTAATCTGTTAATTTTAAACAATAATGAAAGTTTATCAGAGGATTCACATTGACATTGTATTTCTGAAATATGAAAAATGTTATATATATTATTATTATTATTATTATACTTTAATTGAAAAATAAAATTGCATTATCCTTATTTTAAATAAAATTTTATTGTAAAAATTGTAAAAAATCTATAATAATCGATACCGACACTATTTTAAAAGAGAGAAATTGCATTAAATTAAAAGTACATGAAAAGATTTAAATGATACTTAAGTACATACCTGACATATAAAACAATTGTTTATTAATCGATGGCGAGGAATATTAAGAATATTTTTGTTCATAAGAAATAACTCTTTGACATCGGCGGAATTTAAGCCTAGATTCGTTAAAAGAATCTTTCTAAATTCTCTTATTTTCCAAAGATATGCCATTGTGGATGAACTTCTATTACTGAACCTCATTGTGACACAATCAGTTGATACGCAATATATCTTTACAATTTTAATTTAATCGATTTCCTATAATCTGTAACAATAACTTGTTTCCGTATTGTACTGATTTTTATTTTATTTATTAAGTGCGGTAACAGAGACTACAACACTTGTTTGGTTACATTTGACTCTAAAGTTTAACCTAACCTTAGAATTCGGAGTGGCTAATGGTTTGTCGCCTCCATCGCTGCGGAGCCGCACATGCGCGCGCACAGAATCCCTAATTGGAACACTGTTCCATCGTCTCACAGGACAAAAACATATATCAATGGGTCTGTTTTTTTAGCTGCATTAGTGCAATTAAAAGTTGAGTGAAAGAAAGTATGTTTGTCTCTTTCTAACTTATTGCACTAGTGCAGCAGTGCAGCTAAAAAGGACAGACCCATGTGATATGAAGTGAAAAAATTACATCATTTGAATTTCTGAATTTCTTTTTCGAAAAACATATTTTATTTTTTGTACAATTGATATTAATAGCATTATATCTTCCTTGAATTAAATAGCAAGTTGCAATATATAGTTAGATATATAAAAAATGTTAATTGTTAGAAAATCTAATAAGTATCGGCAAGATTTTTCTAAACGAAAAATCTCTCTTCGCATTCCACAGTTCAATTTAAAATGTTTATTCATAAATATACATAAGAATATATATATATATGCACAATGCAATATATTAATATATTATTATGTAATATATTAATATCTTATTACGCAATATATTAATATATTAATTAATATTTGTCTTATAAACATTTTATTATTATCGAGCTTTATTTATTTATATATTATTTATTTATATAATTTCTCTATTATATTAAATATGTCAATCTTGCATTGTACTTTCAAGCAATTCTGATAGCTGTCAACTATTTTGTTTACAGATGTTACACAAAAATTATTAAAATTAATATTTTGAAAAAGAAAACGTATTTAAATTTCGGAAGGTTTAATTCGTAAAATTACAGGAACACTAGTACAATTATTTTCAATTTCATGATAACGGCCGTCACGTTATACGTAATATTTAAGAGGTTTAATAATTTCTTTGTTCGCTAATTAATTCCTCATATTAAATACAATCTTGCATATGTTATGCTTTCAAGCAATTCCGATAGGTATCAACTGTTTTGTTTACAGATGTTACGCAAAAATTGTTAAAATTAATATTTTGAAAGAGAAAACATATTTAAATTTCGGAAGCTTTAATTCGTAAAATCACAGGAACACACTAATACGTGGCACAATTGCCAGTTCCGTGACAACGATCATCACGAAGTCAACCGAAGTCATGTCATATACGTAATGTTTAAGAGATTTAACGATTTTTTCATTGGCCAATTCAATAGTAAAGATTTTTTCGACTCCTCATTTGATTGACGATTCACGAGTTCGTCCGCGTCACCTAAATTGTATGCACAATGCAATATGCAATAATATATTAATTGATATTAATTTCGTACACATTTTACTTATCGAACAATTATTCTATTGTATTAAGTATGTCAATCTTGCATTGTACTTACACGCAATTCCGATAGCTGTCAACTGTTTTGTTTACAGATATCACGCAAAAATGGTTAAAATTAATATTTTGAAGGAGAAAACGTATTTAAATTTCGGATGGTTTAATTCGTAAAATCACAGGAACACTAGTACATGGCACAATCGCCAATTCCGTGACAACGGCTGTCACGAGGTCAGCCGGAGTCACGTCATACGTGATGTTAAGGAGATTTAACGATTTTTTTGTTCGCCAATTCGATAGTAATGATTTTTTCGCCTCGTCATTTGATTGATGATTCACGAGCTCGTCCGCGTCACCTAAAAAAAAAGAAAATGTTTTATCAAATGAATAAGCTGTTCAAGATATTTTGTTATAGAAATATGTTATTGATGAAAAATTTGAAACAAATTAAGGATAATTATCATTCTTGATTTGCAATATAATTATATGAATGATCATTATCATTCACATAATTATATTGTAAATTTTGTATTATTATTATGTTATTATTAATATTATATATTATGTATTATATATTATATATTATATACTTTTTTATTTTATATAATATTTTATTTTATATACTTTGTATTTTATATAACATATTTGATAATATATTATTTCTTGAGAAATAATATATTATCACATGTTATATAAAATAATTTTTATAAAATATTTATATAAAATTATGTGAAACGTAATATTATTTAGTAAAAAAGTATGTAATATATAATGTTAATAATAACATAATAATAATACAAAATTTGCAATATAATTATATGAAACTGCAATAACAAAATTCTTTATTGCTTACCCAATTCATTATAAACGATAGAGTCGGTTTGCACTCGTTCACTTGATTTATGCGTCTCACAAACCACTAAAACAGGTACATTGAAGGCCTTTGCTATCAGAGCAACTTGCGCAGTTCCCGCTCTCGACATTACCGCTCCGTTGGCTAATATCGCATGAGCACCAAGAAAAACTTTGCTAACCTAGGCAGTTAAATAATAAATTATTTTAGCAAAACAAAAATAAAGCCTATAAATAATAAAAAAATAAGCTTATAAATATTCAACGAATTTTTTAAATTGTCTCGAATCTACCAATTTAAAAAAATCTTCATTTCTCAAAATTATTAAGATTTAAGACAATTTATTTAAAAAATTCATACTCTTGAAAATATATTTTATGTACTTGATTATAAGATTTGTATAATTTTGCAATATATGTAATAAATATGAAAAATGGATATAAAATTTAATAAATTCTTTAGCTGTGCATATTTATATACCTCTGGCATAATAAAGCTGAGAGCGTTGATTAATATATATGAGCACTCAATTCCATGTTTTGTTAAACGTCTCAGCTGTTCCTTTCCTTCCAACCATGGCCTGCCATCAACCACGATTACGCGAAATTGTTTACCAGCATCATGTGCTTCCACTAATATATTATGAATTAAGGATGAGCTGAAATTATATTGCATGAGATTAAATCATTTATAAAAGCAAAATAAATAGTAATTTTCAAAAATAAGAAATAATAACATAAATCAATGTATTGATATGTATTTTGCACCATTGACATCTGAATAGATAGACAGAGTCTTTTGAAAGGAGTAAATGCGGTAAGGAGGAAGTACATGAACTTTGGTTAATTCTGTCAACATTGGACTATATTCGGCATAATTTGACGACATGATGATTTCATTGACATCACTGATTCTCAATCAGATCTTCACAAAAATGTTTAAAGAATGTTTATTTAGAGAAAATCACTAATGCTACTTAAATAATTTTATATATATCTTAAATAGCAGTTAGAAGGCATTTTCTGTTGTTTTGCAAAACTAAACAAATGTATAAAAATGTACAAAAAATTATATTTATATTATTATTACTTTATTATATATGTTTTTAATTTTTATAATAATAAAATTATATATATATATATATATAAATATATATATATATATATATAAGTAAAAATATAAAAATAATATGACATTAATTACAACATAACTTTGCAAAATATGTGAACTGAACTTTGATGTCAATGATTGGAGTTGAATTATTAAGCTATCATTATTAGAAATAAAAACCGAATTCAGCCTAAGTACATGGAGTCCTCCTTACTGCGTATATCAAAGCCTCCCTCGTCTTAATTGATAGGTAATGCTCTGTCTATCTAGTTAGTATATATTTATTTTATATCAATGTTTTGCACTATTTGTATTTTCATTACTAAAATATACTTTGATAACAAATTCAAACACTTACTATCCATATGTTAAAATAACATTTCCATTTGAGATTTTTTCTCGTATCTTTATCGATATTGCTTTACCAGCCAATTGAATCTGTTCCGAAATATATGTATCTATTATACCTTGTAATTTATTTTTTGCCTGGAAAAAATCAAACATTAGATGATAAACAAAATGTTATATATGAGAAACTCAAATAAAAGAAACATAAATGTTTAAACTACAATTCACAAATTTTTCTAGATTTTTTGTTTTTGACATTAAGAACAATCAAGAGCTCTCTCACAAATCAAATAAAAGAATCATAATATTTGTATAGTTATAATTATATTAAATTAATTATATAAAAAGAACATAAAAGGCTAGTGCAAAGTTATTACTTTTTCATCAGACAATGACGAAAACCGTGTCATTTGCCACTTGAGATGACGCATGGCATTCTGTTGCGAGACAGCCAGCGGCCTACAATGATGTAAATATACCATGGATTGCTGCAGACTAGTCTCAAGGCCGCGGACAAAGTCAGCCTGTGCTGGCTTCTCAAAGTCCTTAACCACTTGTTTGACAGCAGCCAAAAGCGCGACGCATCTTGCATTACTGCCAACGATAACTTTACTTTCATATTGAACGCCTAGTCTAATTATTGCCGGATGTATATTTAAGTTGATAGGAGCTACAGCAATCCGTGAGCTTTCTCTTTCGTGATACAAATGTTTAAATAAACTAAGTTGGTGCGGATCCTCCTTTATTACGTTCTTTATAACATCTTTCTTTACTACACACTCGGATTTAGTCTCTACGCATGGTTTAATAGGTTCTTTAGTTTTACTATTATCTTTTGCTAATAATTGTTGTTGTTTTGCAGCTCTCTGCGCTTCCTGTTTGGCTCTTCGTTCCGCGCGTAATTCAGCCTTACTTTTCTCTCCGATCTTTTCTTTACTTTTGCCCTCAGGCGTACAACTTTGTGTGCCAATATTCGAAGATTGAGTTGTGTTTTCCTTAGACACTTCTCTCGTAGGTTGCGAGTCTTTTACAGTCACTGCGTCTGTTTTTGTACTTTTTTCCGAGATATCACAATTGACCGCAGTGGGTTTATTTTTAATATCTGTGTTTGTTATTTTGTTATCGCTTTCTTTCGACACGTCTCTTTCCACACTTTTCTCCGAAATTTTAGAATTGATTACTGGAGATACATTTTTAACGTTATTATTTGAGCTTGCTACTTTGCTTACATTTTTGCCTTTCGTTGCCTTAGCAGCAGCCTTGGCAGCTTTTTTCGCTTCGCGCTCCGCCTTGATCTCCTCTCTCGTCTTTTGCGGGAAATTCATCTTTCCATCTGGCTTTCACGGAAAAACACATTAATCTATTCCCATAATCATTAAAATCCAATGTGCACAACTGTTTTTTAGGAGAAAATTGTTAGTTTCAGCGCCGCCTTATTGGATCGAAGAGAACTAAAATGGTCATTTGACAAGAAATAGGATAGGGAAGGGGGGGGGGGTAACGAGTGGAAATCGTATACATGTACATATCACTTACACATGTACATATTATACATATGTAACTTATTCGTCTTATTTTATTAAGTTAAAAAAAAATAATTTAAATATTTACGATTACGATTATTATATATTGGAGATCAAAATTAAGAAAAAAGGTGCTTTATGTTTCAAAAAATGAACATATACATAATATACTTTTTTTTCATTTTATTTATATAATTTTTTAAGAACTTTTTCACGCAAATTTTACTTTTTTTGCGCAGCCGCGGCCGCCGCCGCAGCATCGTCCTCGCGTTGGTACGATTGTAACAGCTCTTGTTTTTTGGAGGCAATGCGCTCCGCACGACGTTTGCGTGCCTCCCTAACTTTCGTACGCCGAGCCTCGGCTTGATCCGACAGCATTTCAGCGCGAGCTTTCTCTGCCTTCTTCTTATGAATAAATTCCATCAATACTCTCTTGTTTTTAAACACATTACCTTTCGCTTTCATGTACAACGAATGATACAAGTGTCTATCGATTTTCTTTGTTTCACGATATTTCTTTAGAAGACGACGAAGAACTCGCATCCTTTGAATCCAAAGATCCTGTATAATACATATAAATAATCGTATAGACTCTTGATTTTATTATTAATTTGTATAAATGTGAGTATATAAATTATTAACTATAAATTGAAGGATAGGGAACAAGATAAGATTATAATTGTTAAAATATATATACCTTTTGAGGTGTACGTGCATTTGCAGTACCCTTTCTTTTACCGAATCCACAATGACGACCTTTGCGTCTGGCTTCGGTATTCTTGCGAACGCGAGCTCTCGAGTGCACAGCGACAGGCTTCTTGATAATGAGACCATCTTTAATTAATTTTCTGATATTTTGTCCTAAAAGGAATACAATTAAAAATCTGTCAATATATAAATAAAGAGAAATAATGTCATAATAAACACTTCTCTTAAAAGTACATTTAATTATTATCCATATAAAAGAAAAGCAACGATTATGAATAAAAGCAAAACTTACGAGAATTTGTATTTGCAATTTCGTTGATCTCATTAGGATCCAACCAGACCTTCTTCTTGCCACATCGCATAACAGAGGCTGCTAGCCTCTTCTGCAGCTTCAAAGAACTGTAAGAAGAGAGAGATGCAGTTATATTAATACAAAGTTGGTTATCAATTTCATGTGCACGTGAAATTGCATGTCCGAAAAGTTGTATTTATTGTAAAAAAATTGTTAATTTTTCAACAATAGAAAGACCAATATTTTTTGTCAACGATAAGCCCATGTGCTCAATAGCTAGAAAGCAATATAAACCACGTGCACATACGGGAATATTCCCAATTTCTATCGCGAAATCACTTCTACGAACTGTCATATTTTAACGCGATTTTCGTGACAAATTCGAAGTCATTTATTTGCAATACTTGTCGAAATAGCAAATTTAATTTATCGCGATGCACAAACCTCATATTGTATTCTACGAGACCTTCTCTGAAAAAGAAAATCAAGATGGCCGCTGTTAACCTTCCTTCTTGAGGAAGGAGAAGTTTATGCCGATATCGCATCAAAGCGTTGTTTATCCAACCAACGATGGGATTGGCTGTTGTAAATGGGGAATTATTAATGATTAATGGTTCTTTTTCGGGTAGCACCCGATTGACCACGTCGCCAATTGGCCAATTCAAAATAGGACTCTCTGATTGGTTAATCGTTGCTGGTTACCCTAGGCACAGGTCGATATAATTGGCTGTGGTCAATCGCAACGTGGTCAAACGGGACGCTCCCTCTTTTTCTAGAATAAAAATGTGAAAATGTTTATCTTCGTTTTTAATTTTTATTCAAATACATAAAAAAATGCAAAACGTTTTTATAAAATATTTTATAAATAACAACGTGTTCTTGAATTATATTAAATTTTTCTAGATTTTTTTGAAACTACGCAAAACGATAATATGATCGACCTTCTATATCAATGGAATCGTAATCGTAGTGAGACTTTTAAGCGGCCTTTTCATTGACGCTACTTTTTAGCGTCAATGAAATTGCACCTTAACAGTTGGCAGCCCTACGAGATAGGCTGTGCAGCACTGCGCGTATATAAAATAAATTTGAAATCGCTTCTAGCCTAACCATCTTCACGCGATCGACTTTATTTGAATTGCACGGCATCGCATCGAATTATGATGCGGCGCCGATTTGTTCGAACGTAATTCGGGACATCGCGATGCTGTATAAGCGTCGAATGAGCACGAATTGTCACGCAAATATGATAAATCACATCTACTCACCGTTCACCGGCTGTTCCACAGGCCGCTCCACTCGCTCGCCTCGGGACGTCCCATTCCGATCTTGATGCGCACAAACTCACACGATATCATCAACGCGAACGCGCGACACTTTATTCGGCACTCCCGATATTCGCTCGCATCCGATAATCATCATCAAGGGCGCAAATAACGCGACGCGACTTCGCTCCATCTTCGCGATCGCGCTATCACTGAACTGTGAAAAATAGCTGTCGCGCACTTTCACCGACATATTATGAAAGTCGCGCGATCATCCTTGGACACTTTCGACGCTCTTTCACTCGCGATATTCGTTTAAAAACGGTTAAAAGACGCGAAAAATGCGGACGTACGACGATCCGTGTAACTGCGTATGACTCCGATTCACGTATGACGCGTATGACGTAGCAGTCACGCGCTAACATGGCGGCCGAACCAGTGCGCAGAAACAAATGCGCACTGGTTCGGCCGCCATGTTGGCGCGTGACTTCTACGTCACTGCTACGTCATACGCGTCATACGTGAATCGGAGTCATACGCAGTTACACGGATCGTCGAACGTCCGCATTTTTCACATCTTTTAACCGTTTTTAAACGAATATCGCGAGTGAAAGAGCGTCGAAAGTGTCCAAGGATGATCGCGCGACTTTCATAATATGTCGGTGAAAGTGCGCGACAGCTATTTTTCACAGTTCAGTGATAGTGCGATCGCGAAGATGGAGCGAAGTCGCGTCGCGTTATTTGCGCCCTTGATGATGATTATCGGATGCGAGCGAATATCGGGAATGCCGAATAAAGTGTCGCGCGTTCGCGTTGATGATATCGTGTGAGTTTGTGCGCATCAAGATCGGAATTGGACGTCCCGAGGCGAGCGAGTGGAGCGGCCTGTGGAACAGCCGGTGAACGGTGAGTAGATGTGATTTATCATATTTACGTGACAATTCGTGCTCATTCGACGCTTATACAGCATCGCGATGTCCCGAATTACGTTCGAACAAATCGGCGCCGCATCATAATTCGATGCGATGCCGTGCAATTCAAATAAAGTCGATCGCGTGAAGATGGTTAGGCTAGAAGCGATTTCAAATTTATTTTATATACGCGCAGTGCTGCACAGCCTATCTTGTAAGGCTGCCAACTGTTAAGGTGCAATTTCATTGACGCTAAAAAGTAGCGTCAATGAAAAGGCCGCTTTACACACTGAAAAAGTTGAAACTGTTTGAACTTTATTTTATTGACGCCATATCTAGAGAAAGTCTAGTGATTTTAATTTGCCGCTGGTTTCTAGCGTCAATGAAATTGCACCTTTACGCCCCCTGTTCTAAATAACTCATGATGGACTTTATTTATTTACTATTTTGGATGAATTAATATTCCAAAATAATCCAGTTATAAAAGAGATTCTCTTTCAATTACGGATTCTTACATTGCTTCTGCAATATCGGAAGGTAATATTAATAATGATGTTTATTCGTTTTTACGATAAGATGTGCTTCGTTTAATTCGCTTTCGCGATAATGGAATTAAATCAGATAGAGTACACTTTTGGAGGACTTTTAATGACAAGCGATAATTCAGTCATTTTATTGTTTTCATTATGAATTAATTGTAATTGGTTGTAATTGATACTTTGAAAGGTCTTTTTCCAATTGTTTCTTCAATTCTTGTCTTACAGCATAACGTAGCACATCTTGTTTAATTGGTTAGAAAAATAATAACAGCGGTTAGCCTGTAAAGTAATTTTTTAATTTTTACTTCTACCGTCTTTCTACATTTTATTTTATTAAAATACACTGTCATTTTTTTATATAACCTGTACATACTGAAATTTTTAAATGCATAAAATAAAAAGTAGAATTATTTTTTTTCTTATTTCAAATTTATCAAACTAACTATAATTTAACTATAATTTAATTTTTTAATATCTAGTCATTAACCCGATTAATTTTTACTAACAAGTACACAAAATATGAAAAAAATTTCTTAATTAATTTAAGAAAACCTTGAATATATATACCGATTACATACCTATCTCACAAATAGTTGATTTGATCTGGTGATTTTATCTAATTTGTATGACATATTTTGTTATAATTTCCAGCAATGTCCAATGAGGAGCGCTTGAGAAAACTTTTGTCAGATTTGGGAAAAGCTACTCTTCGTGGAGTCCGAAAGTGTCCAAAATGTGGCACTTACAATGGCTCGCGTGGCCTTTGCTGTAAGAATAAGTACTGCGATGCTGTATTCAAAGAACCTGGTGAAAAGCGAAAATTGTCCACAGAAGCATGCAAACTTATCACAGGCTCATCTGCGCAAGTATTTTCTGTACGAATCAGAGACAAAGGACCTGATTACCGGGGTTTTGTACAGTTACCTTTAATAAATGCCAATGATATTACAACACTCATTTCGCAAAGTACTGCATTATGTTTTGTAGACAGTTGCGAAAGAAGTTTTGACACTAGTGTACTCAAATGTCATGTAAGTTTTTTATATTAAAAAGCATATGTAAAGATATATTTTTTGTGATTATATTTTTTAAATATATTTTATTTAATATATATATATATATATATATATATATATATATTTTTTTTTTTTTTAGGAGAAAGATTATTCAGATACTGTGCCAGCATCTACATGCCAGCACATTCAAGCAGCATTGAAATGTTATGCAGAAGCACAGCCATTAACTTTAAAAAATTCTATTCTGTCATCATTGAATGTAAATAACGAAACAAAGCAAGAGATATGGTTATTAGCAACGGAAACTTCTGGTCCTTTAGTACAAAGAGTCTCAAAGAATATAATGGCAGTGAAATGTAAAGCTTCTCCAAAACATCCACTAGGTTATCTTCATTTTTCTTTTTTTATTAGTAAATTAAAGGATAGAATTGAGCATCGTTACTTCTGCAGTTGTACTACATTTAAGGTAAGTAATATGTGCTTACAGAGAATAATATATTTTTCTGAGTTAAATATTAATGAAAAATAGTAAATATTTGATACAATTTTATTTTTTAATTAATTATTTGAGCTTTCTTTTACTCTTTACTAATACAAATTATATTTGTAATTAATGAATATGCTGATATAATTAATATAATTAATATTTGCTGATATAATTAATCTGTTTACAGGGTACAATAAAAACAGGAGGAGAAAAAGTAGATAGCACATTGTTATCACCAAAACGATGTGTGCACTTTTATGCATGTATTTGTGCTTTTGCTAGTGATCCAAAGTTATCTGAAGAATTTAATTATTATATAAATCTAGATCAAACACAATTGAGTATAGATAAATCTTTGGCAATTGTACCACAAACTGAAGAAGAAGATAAGATTGTTGGAATTGGTAAGATCATATGTATGTCATACATTCAAAAATTTGATTTGTATATCGATTTTTGATAATAATTAATATAAAATTTTAGATCTCGATAGTTTAACCACAGATGAAACTGATACACATCTATTAATTTTTCGCGATGATACTTTAACTGTACAAAATTTAGATGGAAATAGATTAGATTTAGATTCTATGAATCTAGATTCTTCAATTTTACCACATAGTATTGTTGAAAATATAGAAGTAGAATGTGATCGCAGTTTATTGGATGATAACAATATAATATCACAAGTAAGTCTTATAAAGCATTTATTTATATTAAAATATTAGTATCTTTCTAATAATAACAATAATAATAATAATAATGATAATAATAATAATAATATATTTGAAAATAATTATTTCAATAAGATTGAGAATAATCAAATTTTGCATTATTATACAGGTTCATAATTTAGAAGTAATTGACCAAAATGCTGTTCAACTGGGAGGAGGAAATACTATAAAAATATTGGATGATCAAGGGACAATCGATACAAAATACAATGTACTCAATAGTCAATACATATTAAATGATAATAACATAAAAATATTGGATACAAATACTTTGAAGGTTCTTGAAGCAAATACAGTTTTGGATGTGAATAATGCAAAACTTGTTGATAATAATGCTGTCCTAAACAGTGGCGTTAAGATAATTGACAGAAATGCAGTAGTGCATTATGATAACAGAAATATGGCAAATTCTGAAAGTAATGTGCAACCGGCAATTTCGACTAAACGAAAAAGGGACGAGAAGCCTGCGAACAGCAGTAGCTTGAATTTGAACTCGATTGAATCGAGAAAGACGAAGACAAAATCACAAATTGTTAAAAAATATCAAAACACTTGTGACGATTTAGACGAGGGTAACACGAGTTTGCCGTTTATCAAATGGCTCGCATCTATAACCGAGCGAATAAATCAGACAATGCATTTTCAATTTGATGGTAAACCTGATCCTCTAGTGTTTCACGTGCCGCAAATATTCTTTGATTGTTTACGCGAGCGAATATCCTGCGGCGGCAAGAAGAAACGTTTGCCGAATTCGACAACAGCGTTTGTTCGAAAAGATGGAGTACCATTGGGAACATTTACCAAATATACATGGCAGATTACGAATATCTTGCATGTAAAAAGTATTTTTGAGACACCTTACATACCTCTGGAGATAACAAGAAGTTTTGTACAGAACGCGGATGGAACATACGAATTATATAAAAGAGAGGAAACGGAAATAGATCGTTATAAAAAAACAAATAATAGTGCGTTAATTAAGCCATTAGAATTGAAAACGTATTTAAAAGTCGGTGAGTTTGATGTGTAAGAAAAAAATTGATTATCAAGGATTAAATATGTCGAAGTTTGTTAAAAATTGAAATGATTTGTTACAGAGTTTTACTAATAGAGAAAGTGATGGAATATTTTTACTTATAATATGCTTTATATATATATTTTATTTTCTGTTTTAGGAAATACTTCTCCAAATCAAGTCGAACCCACACCATTCTTAATAGAATGGATACCGGATATTTTGCCTATTTCAAAGATAGGTGAGCTTAGAATAAGGTTTGAATTTGGTCATGTAAAAAATGAAACTAGTCATAAATGGAGGAAAATTGCTCTTTCTAAAAATTATTGAAGTTTTCACTTTTGAAGTATCAATTTTTAATAAATTTTCACTTTTTTATCATGAATATCTGAATATCTAACAAATTACAAGAGAGAAAAAAATATCAAATGTGCAACACTTAATTTTAAAATAATTAATATATAGAATATATAGAATGACTGTTTCTTGAGGATTATAAACCGTAATTATATTGATGAAAAGGAGAATTAAATTATTTTTAAGCAGTAAATTAATTGAACTATATACTCAATAATTAAATAGATATGATATCTCTTTACAGCGCAAACATTAACTTAATATCATTTTAAATTACTAATTCAAAGACTGATGTAATTATTGCACTTGTAAAAGTAACATATAGCTTGACCTGCAAAACATTAATTTTGTTTTATAATTACTGAAAATATGCAATCTATCTTTTTGTCATTATATTACTTGTATAGTGATGCATAATTGCCAATGCCAATGATTATCAACTATTTATTATATAGTTTTTGCAGATATTTATATTTTTATTTATCTTATTCTTTATTTGTCTATATAAGGAGATTGTTGGGTGCAAGTATCACTATCATAAAATATTATTATTATTATTATCAATAATTACGTTCTGTAGCGTTTGAAATATTGTGATATATATTGTAAATATATATATATATATATGTATTTTATAAATTAAATATATATTTTAAATTTTATGTTATATATATGTAAAAAGTGTGTATTTATATTATTTAACAATATTGGCTTTGTTCTGTGAATATGTTATATTTGGATTTGAAAATAAATTATATAATTATCTAAGTTACACATATATTATATATTACATATATATATGAAATTTTAACCATAAATACATGTTAGATATATAACTAATCTGAGATATTATCTATTTCCCGTTATATATTAAATCTTAAATGATAAATTCCCATTTTATATAATTTTTATTCCTAATAATTATATAATTTCAATATAAGTTAACTTTCTCCAGAACAGCTTTAATATCGAATAATATCACTGAATTAAGAAAGAAATGTTAAATTTATATGTGTGTTAATTTAGGTAATATTGAAATTTTTGTCAAAAAAATTTGTATATGGCTGTTTATCGCAAGAAATTCCGTATTTTAAGATTTAGATACATTTGATTATGTCGATCGCAAGTTTTAATACTTTCATATTTTTCAAATTAATATCGCACTTAAAAAATTATTATAATTATATGATCAGTTTTCTCTGTTTTTATAATAAAATATTTTGAATTTTATCTCTGTGCCGCGATTGGCTCGCGTGAAACACGATCGCTACGCCACCATACTGTTTACAAATGAATCTGGCGCGAAAAATTCTACCTTGCAAAGTGTTCGTCTTGTAAAATTAATATCGCGTATAATTATTATCGCGTCGATCAATATATGTGTGCGCTCAAAATATTGGCGATTCGCTTCGGAAATAAAAGGAGAGACCTCCGCGGCTATTTTCTCTCCGAAGTTCAGCAAAAGTGTAATTAGTGCACGACCATCGCCGTAAACATTTACACTTGATCGATGCTGCGTGTTTAGTTAGCGTTTAGAGCTTTTAGTTGTCGCCCGCAAAGCGATCGGTCGGGATTCTCTTGCCGATTCGTGCGTTGACGTTTCTCGGTTTGTCAAACGTCATCCCGCTGCGATCTCGCGCATCTCGGGTTTTGCGCCGGGTGGGAGCTTCTCGCGGCCGGAAGCCGCGCTACGCCGGAAGTCAACTCTGACGTAGTGGGTCGAGCGACGAAGCGTACGCTTCCATTTTCTCGAGCCTTACGACGAACACGGGGAACACGTGCTTCGTCGCCGGTCGCCGCGCACACGACACGCTCTGCTCGTGCGAGAAATCGCGTGGGTGATTTCTCATCAAGCAACCCCCTTCGCGCCCCGTCGCTCCTCGTTCCTCGACGCACGACAGGGAAGTTAAGAATGAATCCCGAGAAGCTCAAGAAGCTGCAGGCCCAGGTGCGAATCGGCGGTAAGGGTACACCCCGACGCAAGAAGAAGGTGAGTGCGACAAGACCTGGCTTCGTAGCTTTTCCATCATTTCGACGCGATATATCGCTGACGTGCGCGTATCGTTACTTTAATTATTCCTTTCCCGGAGCGATTAGGAGAGAGTAGGCGTGTGACAACGCGAGTTTCTATTTTAAGAACAATGAATGCGGATTGATTAGTTATTTGCTTCTCTCTTGCATTTTGCTTTATTTTGCGATGCACTCTCCGCAAATGTCATAAAGATTGGTTGCAAAACGAAGCTATTTTGACAATTTTCTTGGTGTAATTACTCTCTACTCGGACTTGTAGAAGTAGATAAACATTAACTTTGATATTCATCGAAGAATAATGCTGGAGTTTAATGAAATATATTGTAAAAGAAGGAAGTGGCATATGCGCACTATGGAAACAGTGTTAAGTAAAGTGCTAACTTTTTCTTTAATCCATTGCGGCTAGAATAGAATATTATTTTCACGTTTCATTTGTCACTTTTACAGGTTGTGCACGCAACTGCTGCCACAGATGACAAAAAGTTACAGAGTTGTTTAAAGAAACTTTCTGTAAATACAATTCCCGGTATAGAAGAAGTTAATATGATCAAAGATGACGGTACAGTCATTCACTTTAATAATCCAAAAGCCCAGGCCAGTCTATCTGCTAACACATTTGCCATTACTGGTCATGGGGAAAATAAACAGATAACTGAGATGTTACCAGGAATATTGAGTCAACTTGGTCCCGAGGGGCTGACACAGCTGAAACGATTAGCGAGCACAGTCGCTGGAAGTGCAGTCGGTAAAGCCACATTGGAAGAAGACGATGAGGTGCCTGATCTAGTGGAGAACTTTGACGAAGCTAGCAAAGAGGAGGTAAATGCATAATTAATATTAAAAATACTGCCTGATTATATCATTATATATAAAATGCATTATATATAAAATGTTTTAAAATAATGCAACATTATTCATATATTTACACATATATTTCTGGTGCTTTCTATAATATTATGTATGTATATATATATATGTATATTATATTATTATTTGTATATTATATTCTTTTTGGATGATACTTTAACATTACAATTCTAAGATGAAAATATCACCAAAGATAAGTTAAAATTTGCATTAAATTTCACAATACATAACTTTTACAAGTTAATAAAATTAAATGTCCAATTTAACGAGAGTATTGAATTATTTTATTTTATAGTATTGAAAATATACAAATACATAATAAATAATATATATAAATTTTTTTATTTAAAATATTTTAAGGTTGCTCCAAAAAAGGAAGTAGATGAAAATGATAAACCAAATGGTGAAAAAAAAGATGCCATTATTATTGAAGAGAAGAAAGAAGCTCCATTAGCTACATCTGAGGCTTAAGAAAAAAAATATCGAGGTGATTAATATATAAATAATTGATATTTTCACATTTGTAGTCTGATAAAACAGCAAAATAAAATATAGTCTATGCTAATTTAAGAAATTTGAAATTTAATATATGACTTTACTTTTTTTTTTTTAGATGTTTCATACAACAATTGAAGTTGTAATTGAGGAATCAAGAGAGGTGTGAGTTGCAAAAGCAATGGATAAATGAAGCACTATACATACGTTATAGATACTTGACATAAACCTTATGATACTTGCTAATATAAGTAACAGTTGACAAGAAATAAAAAAGCTGTTACAAAAATCAAAAAGATTTTCCAACGATATTATTTTATTATTTTGGTGCTACCACTAAAGATAATCTTTGCTTCAAATTAGTCGAAATGTTCTTATTCGCCCCCGAATTAATATCGTGTGACGCTTTAACCATTTAAAATGTCGATAAAACTTGAACATTTAGCCCAATCACAGAATTATAATAAAGAATTAATATGCTACAATTTTGTTATTAATGATACATTGATAGAAATGCATAAGCAAATTTCTTTTTTGAAATTACATTGAATTTTATATTACATTATGTTGAATTTTTATTTTATTTTAATCAGGCAAATATAAGTAATATGATATAAATCAATAGCATAAAATAAAAATTCCATCAAGATGAGAGAGAAATCATTAATCATTAATGACATTATGCAGAATGTCCCATTTCTACTTGCACATGTCTTGACGGATTTAATCTCCATGTAGCTAAAACCATAAAATATTTTTCAAAATTTAAAAATTTTAATATTAATTATTTTGATAATAATAATCAAAATTACAATAAACTGAAATGTTTTGTAAATTTCTAATGTATTGTGTAAAATTTTAAAAAAATTAATTTCACATTCATGAAAAATAAAATGAGTGAAGAAAGATATGACAGAACATTTCTTACGAGGCATTCTGTATAAAAGATAAAAATTTATAGAGAAAATAGAGCAAAAGTAGAATCATATAATTGATACATTTCTATTTCTTCTATATCTAATTGATGAAATTTATAACTTTACAAAAACGCAAAAATGTTTCCAGTTCGGAAATTGTAATATTTTGTAATGTATAACTTACCTCTTCTATTATATAATAAATTCATTTGCTGGAAGCGCGGTTTTCTACTTAAAGACATCGCATTTTCCGACGCATTGTATGATATGATAGCAATCTGTCGATGTTTATATTTTCATTTATAGCCTAGATCTGTAAGAATAGTGTAATATGAAAAATATATTAATAAGCTGCACACCTAATCTAATGCACTTTTCTACCTCTGCACATTTTGTATTTTTAACTTTATAAATGTTAATGTTTCTATTTTTCTTCATATTTCTATTTTTTCGTATATTTAAACAAAATATTTGCTTTGAAACAATCATGCGAAAAAAATTGTTTCAATTATTCAATAATAAATAATTGTTTGATTTTCATTAGCAAAGTTGTGTATGTTACTTTAAAAAAAGATCGAATATTATATGAGTATAAAAAACGATGTGTTCACATAAATTAAATTAATACGTAATTATAATATTTCCTTTCTTCTAGTTTTGATTATTTTATGTGTGTGTTTGTTGATTTGCTTTTTCACTGAATTTCTCTGAACTTTAAAAATTTTTATAAAATAAATTTTATTGATGTGCTGGAAAATATATAGTAATATAATGTTATAATAGAATTTTTATAAAGTATATGCAAAACAGAAACTTAATTTCTTATTATATATACATAAAAAGAATACAATAATGATTTTAGAAATTAAAAATATATATTGATACCGGTATTGTTTGGAGAAGGATGAAATAAAATGCTAGGCGGAAATGTCACATGATTGTAGTCAGTTCTCGTATTCAGTCATCATGATATTTATTTTAGAATGTTCGTAGTTTCGTTTGTCGATTCATGATTATGCGCTAGCACACGATTTTGAGTTCGAGGTCATACATAAAAAGTTTACGATCTACTATGTACAGAGTGGAGAGTGTGTTACGTTGCGCAATTATACATACCAGAGAATTACATTTATTATTATGATTCGTTTATAAGACTTTGATCTAAGAAAAAAAAGTAATCGATTGTGTTACGCGTAAGGTACCATCTTCTTTATGTTTCGCTCGTATTAAAAAACTAAAAGCATCTTTTTTATAGTCTGAAGCGGAAAAATAACGAAATTTCTCTAGTATCAAAAATACCTCGATAAAATTATTTTTCTATTGCATAAAATTTACGTCTTGTCAACATTATCAAACTCTAAAACTCATTTTAAATGGATGTGCGTCTTCATGCGTTCATTATTAATTATAATAATGATTGTTAATTTATTCATAATCATATACAGGGTCTCCTCGTTTCTCTAAATCAAATACTTATAATATACATTTTTCGATAGATTTAAAACCTTTTTCTCTCCATTAAAAGATACTTAGCACACACGCTAAATATATTTACAAAATTAGGAGATTAATTACTAATAAATTATAGTAATATATAATAATATATACACACACACATATATACAGAATAAAAATAAAATAAATTATAAATTAATAAATTATGTATCACAATAAATATCTTTAAAAATTTTAGAGGCTTTTACATATTGAATTAACAATGATTTATATAATACTTGTGAAATTTTCATCGAGAAAGACTACAACTCACTTTAAAGAATCTATTATTGTAATTTGTACCATTATTGGCGAGACACCCTGCATATAACTTAGTTTTATAATTGTATCGTTATTGTAAAGGTACAGATACATATGTCAATTAATGAATTATTTATTTTTATGACGGATTGTAAGAGTAAAAACGACATGTAAATTCTTGTAAAACGATCGAACCATTGTAATATCGGGCCTTTTTTATGGAATTCTCCTCATTCAAGAATATGCTTACGCGCACAGAAACTTTATCAGAAAATTTCGAGTCTATAAAGACGAAAGTTCTACAGATTATAGATATATTATGCGCTGTTCGCGCGATAACAGATTAGTCCGTATTTTCATCGCTCATTTATTAACAAATATTCATCTACTTTAATCCGAGAAATATAATAAAAAATAAATACGTAATTATTAATCGTCAATAGCTATTTTATAATTGTTAATTAATTATTCGAAATTATAATACAAACCGTATATTTCTTTTTCGGTTTTCGTGAACTCCTTTCGTAATTAACAAATAAGAATTGCATTTATGATATGTATATAAATAGCTGCTGTTAATTTCTGATTCGCTACTTTATATTCAATTCTTAAATTTTTATTTGGTATCCATGATTTAAATGCACTTTGAGTAATAAACGAGCTCACGAAAATCGAATTTGATTACTTTTCTTTGACAGAAAATGAATAGAATCCTCGCTCATATATATTTAACATTGAATATATATATATGAATAATTTAATAATTTAACATTAAATGTATATGTGTGTATATGTGTGAAAATTATGAATACGGACTTTTTTTAGGCTTCATGTTTTATTCGAGAGTCTCTTTTACTCTCGAAAACGAGACTGCAATACACTGGTGTACACGATCTCAGTACATCAGTAATCCGAATTCTATTCTCGAAAACGAGACTTTTAAGGTAATTCTCAGGAATCACAGAATATTGAGTGATTCTCCTGATTATCTTCTCTGAAAATGTTCACTATCGCTATCGAGAGTAAAACTCTTACGATCTCAGAAGACATTCGCTCCATCGCTTTCTCTCTCACGTGTTAATACGCTTATACATTTATTCCTAAACACATCGTATTTCGGGGAGCTAGACGACGACATCGATGATGCAGCTTGATTACTGCATTTTTATATATATATACCTGTGACATTTTATTCGCGTAACGACTTGTTTTAGAGAGGAAATATCGCGCGTTAGTTTCCCTAGCCTCTCTCTCCCCAAATTCTCATCTCTACGTTCATAATAATTGTACATATATGTCTTGCCAACAATGATTCATGACTACTATGTTATGAATTATATACATCGAACATTTCATTTATTTTTTTTTTAAATGAATATAAATTTTTATCCTCGATATCACGTATATATGCACTTTGCGCATGCATGTGCGGATTTTCGATTTTTTTTGTCGGTCGATCCCTTAATCGCATTAAGCTCTTTCGCGCGATGTAGTTTTATCGCGTGGCGCTTCTCTTTCCAATTTTCCGTCCAAGAATGAAACGAGCAATGAATAACGAAAGCTCGTTATTATACTGTGAAGATTTATCGCATTTATACCTCTGCTAATTAACGCGCGATTGATATAAATCGCACGCTATTGTAGGTTTTTGAAAAGTGATTAAGCTTAGCGAAGCAAACTATAGTTTTGCCTTTTGTTTGAATTCATATATTAATTTTGTAAATTAATTTAGATTATGATTGTAATTATAAGACTGATTTCATAATTATACATTTAAATGTAAATTAAAATGTTACATTAAAATGTGAAATTAGATTGAATTAAAAAGTTAATGAGAATTTATTTGTAGAATTTATAGAAAACTAATTCTTAGAAAAAGGTGAAATCAAATGTTATAAAAAATAAGCTTTACTTCAAAAAGAATTAAGAGGTCCACCGACGAATTCTCAAAATTATAATAATTCGACAGTTTCTCTGATTCTGATATTCTGATATTCTGATTCTGTAATATATTTTTGATTTACTTTACATATAAAGGTCGCTTAACAAACATTTAGGATTGTCTAGCTAGTGATAGGTCCCCCCTCGTGATTGCAACTGACGATAGTTTAATGAGCAATGGAATATGTCGCATATATCACTCTTGAAACAGCTTACATGATTAATGCTATCTCGTCACATATATCTATTGCCGTTAGAGTTGGAAAAATTCGTTTTAGCACCAAGTGTATTTCATGATATATGTAGATACTTATATCATTTATATTTATATTTCACGTATGACGCAGAATGTTCCTGTGTAGAGAAATACAAGCATATAAATGCGTTATATGCATTTATGCGAAATTAATGAAACGTTTCGAAAATTCCGTAATATTTTTTTATTAAAATGGCACGCATATATAAAGGAATTTTTGCATATTATACGTTGTCAAAGGAATGCAAATAATATACGCTTTTAAATTAATATATATTAGATTTCATAATTGTAGTCTTATATATAACAACATTATCTAATTAATATTTTTTTTTTAATTTTAACAACATTTAGCCAATCTCGCAAATTGTTATAGATATTATATATAATATATATATTTTTTTTTTAAGTCTTGGAAGAATAATCGATTTTCTTGTTTTTTTAACAATTTTAAGATGATAACGTGATAAATTTGTAAATCTAATGTATTGCATTTTGAAACAAGATTCCTAAAATAATTTGGTAAATTTAATACGTCGACTACCAACATTTAAAGTGATAAATTCAATCCCAAGCTAATGAAAAATATTTCTATACAATTACAGATTTTTCATTAATATTTTGTTTTATATTGTTATCACAAAAATTGTTGAAATATTAGAAATGCAGATAGAGAAAACAAGAGAAAGAGAGAATTTTGTGTGCGTCAGGCCATATGTATTAATTTAACATATATATATATATAAAATTAATGCATGCATTATATAAAATTTAACATCAATTTTATACATGACGGACTAAATGACAAAATGTCCAAATGACTTTTTCAACACGTGCACTTATGAAGACAACTTGAAAATGAGAGAGTTAGGAAAAGCTTTCGCGCTTTGATAAATACATCACGAGTGATATCAATTTTGATCGATCGCGAAGAATTTTGTATAATAGATCAGCCCGTTATTTCTCCCCCGATCTTCCCTAAAAAAACAGTCACCCCTCCTTCCCCCGGTTCTCTCCTGCTGCCCATGCAATTTCGATATTGGCCTTGGCTTATCCACGTCGATCTGGCGTGGCGATTATCGCGAGAAAACACTCGCGTGCCGCACGATCGTGATTACGCGAGTCTCGAATTTATCGTGAGCCAACTGCTCGCGAGCCGGGACGTTCGACTTGAGATTTTGCGTCGGATTTCAGGACTTGATTCGACCCCAATCAAAATCAAACTAGCTCTAACTACTCGTAATGTCTTGCAAATTTCATTGCTGCCGTCTTGCCTACACGCAAGACCCGCCACCGCGCTATCCATCTATTGATACGTACGTACACACATACACACACATACACGTGCACGCATACACGCGTGGCACTCACGTTTGTTGTGGCATACTCGTATGTGCTCCGATGCGAGTTACCTCCTACCAAAGTACATATAATGCATTTCAAGCGCACGGTTCAGCATCTTGTCGCTTCGCATAACTTGGATCAATGTTTTCAAAGGAATCTGCCCTCCCTTTCATCATTCCTCCCTTCTTGTAGCTCCTTCGTCTCTTCAGCGAACCTTCTCGCGAATCGGTTGCGCCCAAAATAGGGTAAACACAAGCATGTTAGGCTTTTCAGAGCGCCCTATTGTTTCGGAACGAAGACGTCGAGTGCCCAAGATATCGAGTGTGATTTTCTTACTTTTCACATGACGGATAAATGTATTAACTACAAGTTAAAAAATATCCATATGTATAATATATACATTTTAATTTTATAAATAAATGAAGGAGGTAATTATATTTGTGATAACAGCGCAAAATTTTTCAATGGCTCGATATAATTTGAGAAGATGAGAAATAGAGTAAGCAACGTTATAGAACGTATAGAACGTTTATTTTAAGATATCAATTTCTTAGCCATTTTTGTTTGATTAGTATATGAAACTTAAATTAATGACGTAGCAGTTTATCGGTCTTGTTTGTTGTGCGAGCGGCAACATCTCGATAACGTGGCACGTAATTAAATTCCGTTGATTTAAGTTTTTTTTTTTCAATAATTATTGCTCTTATTAAATAGAGAAGGTTGAGAAAATTCTGAGAAAATACAATTTCACTTCTATAAACCATCGAGTAGGAACAATTTATGATTGTTGACGCTGCTCGATTACTATTTCTTTATTTGTACGCCCGGAAGGTACGTTTTCGAAATCGGAATACCACAAAGGAATCGATAGAAAATACATTAGGATCTTTGTCTGAATAGTTTCGCTACTCGATACCGTGCACAGTAACTCGGTAGCAGGCGATTGTATGTTCCAAGTTAGCGATTAAATTGATTGTATTAAACGATCGCGAACTTCTTGGGAAAATGCATCGTATCCTTTTGCGATGCGAACTTTTAATGCAACTTCCTTTATGGTGCTTTTATTTCACTGGACAACGATGGCGTGACGAATGTACATAGAAAGCGCAAACTCTCTCTCTCTCTCTCTCTCTCCCTCTCTCTCTGTCTTTCTTTCTACTCCTTCTATCTATTTTCCTGGCTGTACTAGAATCCGAAGCTTCGGTTATCGATTGTCAGCAACGATGACAATGTAGAAAATTCAATCTCGCTCGCTGTCGTCGTCTCGTTGGCGTCTCCGTGGAGAATAAAAATTCGAGTTCGCGTATACGAACAAGTCGCTCCCTCCCCCGCCCCGCCCCCTCCCCCTCATTCCCCTTTTCTTCTTTGATTGTCCAGTATGACGTGATTGTTTGCACGATCGTTTGTCCGCATCCAGTTGCGCAATGTTTATACGAATCAATCAATTTCCTCGTCAATTTCTTCGGTTCATTGGATCGTTGACTTTGCTTTCAAAACCTTTTGTACGAGATTGACCGGTTATAATATAATTATAAGTATAATATAGTTATTTTAGCGTTTTTACATTAATTTAGCTGGTCCAATATTTGCTGGGAAATATAAATGCAAACCGATATAATCATATTGTCAATTTTATTTCAATCGAGGAAAAAAAAAACAAGATCGAAAATAAAATTAGAAATCATGATCATTATAATTCTCTCTTCTATTTTAATCCGTACTTGTGAAATTGAAGAGAAAACGAGATGGGAAAAGTACTCTCGCTCTTATAAAATTTGGATCGTCTCGTTCAATTGGCAAATAAATAAATAAATAAATAATCAGAACGAGACACAAATAAAAATCTCATTGTTTGACATTTGACATCGATACATTTTTTTGCTGAAATTTATGTGGGATTATTACAGCTGGCGATTCGCAACGTGGCGATTTCCGCATCATAAATCTTTATTGCATAAATTTTTATATTATGCGAGAACATGTTCCTGACGGTAATTCTGAATTATCGTACACCGATCTCTTTTACTTGTTTTCCGAAATATAATTGTAATTTCCTGCAACAATAAATTGTCACGCTTTAATGTGCGCCATATGCTCGCAAAACTCGTGTTTGCTCGACCTTAACGATCTTTTTTGCCTCGCGCCAATGTAAGAACAATAGATTTCGACGATTCTGTCGAACAGCTACACGTTGTGTAATTACTTATAGAGAAATTAAAAAGTGGGAAATTGCGCTTTTGCAACCATTATTTCTTCCTTTGAATGTAAATATCATGATTATAATTTAAATTAGAATCATGTATAAAGCGCACTTTGAGCGATCTCTATAACTCGCAACAGAATTATATATAATTCAGAAAAATACGAACACATATATTATGTATTTAAGAAATATATCATGACGCACACATGCACACACGCGCACGCACACACACACACACACACGTAAAATTATATCTCTCAGATTCTGTCGGGAATTATAGATCGTCTAAAGCGTACGTAATAATAAAAGCTTTTTACACTTTCTTTTTTTTTATTCGATTGTTTAATTCACAGACAATTATTTGTATGTTTCTTTATTGAGGAGCTTATTTGGAAATCACATTTAAATTCTTCATTTTTATAAAACAATATTTCATGAATCTGTGAGATTTAGATATATTTATGAATTTGTATGTTTTTATAGTATAATATCTTTATAATATCGTTCTTATAGCTTTATAATATCGCACGTTTCTCAGCACGTTCTTAAAAAGTATGAATTTAAAGCCACAGGAAAATAAATAAGCTCCTCAATTATCTTCGGTGTAAATAAATTTGAGTTAAATCAATGAAATGAATGAGAATATCTTGCGAAAATCTGGAAATCGCTCTTCGACTTCGACTTTCACACACTATCAGTTCTTATGTGAGATTTTCAATTTATTAACGCGACTACATATATATATAATCGCGCAATAGCTGTCTATCTATCTCTCTTTTTATCGGTTGCCGTCTTGACGCGTTAAGATCACACAAGCGGTCCAGCGCTGTTGATCATAATCATAGGAGGATCTCTCGAGAGACATCCCTGTGCGACGCGCTTGTCACGCGATCGCGGAATGAAAACCGTCCCGTCGCATTTTCGGGACGACGACAATGTCGACGATGACTCGCGGCATCGTCCTCGCGATCCTCATCGATCGCGATCGATCACAAAAGGATCTCGCTCTGCGTGCCGTTGGTGAGGTCGACGTGGAGGGGCTCGATGCAGCAGGACGGTTGTCTCCGTCGGATATTACGGTCCTCGACGATCGACGAGGAACGCTCCTCGCATCATAGGAAACTCTCGTCGGGCGCGCCGGCGACGTCCACTGACTCGACGACGTCCTGATTGCCATCGTCGTAGTGTTCCGCGCTCTCGGCGCTCTCCGCACCGCCACCACCGCCGTAGCCGCCGCTGCAACCGGCCTTGATCTCGTAGTTATTAACCGGATCGCCATACTGGCTCTGGTAAAACTCCTCGCGCATCATATGGTTGAGATTGCTGCAGCGGAAGAAGAGTATCTCGCGGAAGGGCTTGCGGAAATCCTTGTTGAGGATCGCGTAGATGATTGGATTCAGCAGGCTATTGCAATAGCCGAGCCAGAGGAAGAGACCCGAGAGAAACGCCGGAATGGCGTCCGGGTCGTGGAGGAACGGTCTGACTAGTGCCAGCACGAAAAATGGCAGCCAGCAGCCGATGAACGCGCCCATGATGATGCCCAGGGTGGTGCTCGCTTTCCGCTCCTTCGCCAGGTGAAAGCGCAGCTTCTTCTGATGCGGCGAGTTGGTGACGCTACACGTGCTGTTCAGGTGATTGCGCACGAGCGTCGTCGTCGTCGTCATTTGCTTTGTCGTCGACGACGTCATCGACGGCGTCGTTGCCGTCGACAGCACCGGCTTCTCGATCCTCTGCAGCATCGGGCATTGAGATTCGTTACTTCTGCGCGGTCCACCGGCGAAGCATCGGACCGCGTGTCCGCTACACTGTAACAGAAAAATTCGGCAACCGTTAGTTACGTCGGCGATAAAAAGAGAAGAGAAATTCTAGTTCAACTGTGTGACTTTTGGCATGCGAGACAGGTGTATTTATAGAAAATATTATCTTCGACACCTTATATACACCATTGAGAATTATAATTCCATGCAGATGACAAATATTTCCGAATATTTTTTTATTAATAACTTTTGATCAGAAGACTTAGAAGATTATGTTATTTGAAATTTTATTAGAATTGAAAGGATTACTTAGAAAAAACCTAATATTTGTTATCTAATATTTATTATTTGTATGCACACGATTGTATGCGTTGGATATAATCCGGTTCAGAACTGATGATTTTTTTTTTGTCGAGCTTCAGTGATGGGGTCTATCAAAGGCACGCCGCTGTCTGATTCATTCGCTGGTATTCCACTGGATGTGGACGTAACGTGTACGAGTGTTATGTCAATAGAAAAATGCGTATGCTCACACTCAATGGATCTGGACCTTTGTCAAGGTGCATATAATGGACATCATTGGACATGTTAGATTACACGTTGATGAATTTTTATAAAAAAAATTATTGAAAAAACTTTCTTTCTTTGTTTTTTCACACAAAAAAATGTAATTTCTGTTGTGTGAATTTTTATACAAGATGTTAGAATTGATTGTTAGAGTAATGACTAAACTTAAGTATGATGTGATGGGAATTAAATTTTACTTAAAATTTATTTTACATATAATTAATAATTGTAAGTGTATAATTATTAAAACTGATAAGTAACAATATAATTATAAATTTACGAGAGAAATGCAATTAATAGTGAAACTGTAAATAGATATAATATTAGATATACGAGAGCACAAGATATCCTTTATCGTATTCCAATGTCGCGAACGCGTATAATTACAAAATTGGTTAAATGCTTTAAAAATATCAATTATTTTCTTTTCAATTAAAAAAGAGAAAGAAACAAATTTCTATGTTTTTTGTATATATTGTAATTAAAAGAAAATGTTATTAAAAATAAATATTTGTATCTTTTTGAAGATATATATGCAAGCCTCCATTTTTAATATTTTCTTTTAATTACAATTTTTTGTGATATTTTCTAGAAACACTATACATTCTTTTATAATTTGTATTAAAATTTGATATTGGTCGAAATAACATTCCTATGAACGATGTTAAATTTCTTGACAGATATATTGGTTATATTCGGAGGTAGAAAATCTTCAATTTTGTTCACAGTATCTTAACGCATTTCCCTCGATGCATCTTTGCGTGAAAGAAAGCCCGGATACGCGATAAGTATTGAATCATTCTCGCCATTTGTGGAATGCTCTTCGCGTGTGAGATATTTCTATATCTGCGAGAATCTTTTCAAAAAGTAACTTCTTTGTAGAATTTTATATAAAAGATGCCGTATGCGAACATGTGCTTCGCACAGAATATCAAAATTAATTTATATGCAAAAAATCATTTTCTGAAAAAAACGCACATTTTTTAAATCATCTTCAAAAAAATAAAAATACAATAATTTCCTTCAGAGATGAAGCAGAAATATGTACATTCGCGGTTGAGTTTTAACTTTATTTACACAGAACTCAATCTTCTCAGATATTAGGCAAATAAGACCACTAGAGCAGCCACTTTGGCTGATTTTGGTCGCGGTGAGTGTACGAGCTTTTATGTTTAAATGATCAAACGTATGTGCTTTCCATTGATTTTCTCCCTCGTTGAAAGAGTAAGAGAATCGAGAAATTATTCTGTTGAGAATTACGCGACGATAGAACACGCCCTTGGCCCTGATGTATATTTTATTTTTTGCAAGCATTAATGTAAATTCACGGCACGTGGCGGAAGTGAAGCGGGAAAGAAACGCATTACGTAACTAACAAGTCAGAATGCAGATGAGTTTTCCGACCGAGTGGTCCGACCTCAGGAATGTAGATGACACTTGGAGATAATTGAGAAGTGGAAATTCTTGTGGCTTTAAGGAAGAAAGGAAGATGTGCTTGGGAAGGAACGATACGAAATCCTCGGTGACCTCCTAGGGATCTCTCGTATTCTCGATGGAGAAAAATTTAAACTTAGCTTTACGGTTCGTTTTTACGATCGAAATATCTTTCTCCTTCAGCTCCAATTTTAGAAAACATTTCTCTGCCCTACGCGTAGTTCGCCATATCCATATTCACCTCATTTATTATTTGCTCCGAAAGAAATTTCTTGAGACAAAACGCAAATACATCGCGACGGTAACAGAACGTAGCTTTAAAATGTATTATTTTCTCTCGTCAAAAATTAATAATAAATAAATTTTATTATTCTTAATAATTTGTTTTAAATATTTTAAGAATTTTTCTATATGATAAGAATAATATATTTTTACATATGATAAAATAGAAACTTTAACTTCTTTATTATTTTTTGTAACCTTATGAATATAAAATTTAATACAGTCTGAAATTGATATCCTAAAATTTTTGCATTATTTTATAGAGAATAATTAATGTAATGAATTATAATGCATTATACAGATGCAAGAATATTTTCTATAATTATATAATATTTATGAGAGACGAGCGCAGAGTTTTTTTAAATAAAAGTTTAACAATGAGGAATACTTTGTTATTAGAGAAACTTTCTATTTGTCTTTAGTCTTTCATAATGGCTGTGACTAGCTAACTTGAAATTACTTAAATACTTTCATTGTTAAAGACACATTGATTAGAACACTTTATCACAAACAGGAAGTTACTACGATTCTACAAGTAACAAGAATTCGCAATTTGTTACAAAGCATCGCGTATGAATTCATAATGATACGACAAGTTACTTTGCCTATGTTCTGTTTTAGAATAGCAGTTTTGTCAAGGAAGTTCGTCAAATATTTAATAGCAGGTCATCGTAAAGTAGGCAATCGTCGAGACGACTCTTGCATCTGTAAAACACTACCTGTATATGCAAAAATTTTGTCTTTTATTTTACATTAGTCACGCGTATTATACACTACATGACATAATAAATTAAATTTATCAATATAAATAATAAAAATTATAATAATAAAATTAAATGAGAATTAATAATAATTAATAAGCAATTCATTCATTCATAAAATATGAAACTAGAGCCATGAGTATCTAAAATTGTTTAGTTATTTTCGAGTTTCGAAAAAATATACATGTTTCGATTGAGAAAATGTTTGACCAAAGCATCATCTAAGTGTAACGAGAGAGAAAAACTACTTGTAGATGAAGAGATAATGTCTTACCATTGTCAAATTATCCAGCCTGTCGGCGCGTACCTTCGATCTTATCTACAACAGACAAGTGTTTTACGAACACTTTCAGAGACTGGGGTCCTATTTTATTGCGATACGATTTAATAAATAATACAATGCGACCGATGTGCGGGAAGGAAAAGGACAAGAGTGCGAGGGAGACGGAGAGGAGATGTACAACCGTGAAGATCTACCAACGGACATGCTGCGACGGTAGAGGCAAATGATTGATGTATAAGCCACTAATCCCGAGCAGGCAATCCCCAAAGCTTGCGTAAATTAAATTGGGAATCTGGCACGAAATTAGGATAAATCTATTATCTGGCTATGTATGTAGGGAGCTTTTGCACATATATGTATTTGTGTGTGTGTGTGTGTGTACATAAACTACTCTTAACGTTGACACATACAATTCGCCGCTCACGATACGTATGATCCTTGGTGCGAATTTTTGCGTATGAATGGGATTAGTAGATGCAACGAAAAACGAAAGAGCGCACTCGTGTCCGCGCATTTGAATAAAGAGGATTTGATTCGATTACAGAATTTTACTCGGGATATATCACGTATGGGAGGATTAATAAGCAGGCTTCCCGTATTAATTTCTTTTTTTTAATCGCGACTACTTATCTGCCATCTCGAGTCAATTTTTCTTTTGTAATAAAAAATGCCGTGGCATTAATGCTCGTAATATTTTATAAAACATTAAAAATAAAGTGTCTTACGAATTGATATTTTTACAGATAAAAGTATGCTTTACAAATATATTTAGATACATATTTAAGACTTGAAGTTTGAATTTCTAAAATGTAAAGAAAAAAGATCGTGCACGTCTGTCGTAAGTTTCGAAGTCGTTTAACAGGGTCAGAACTCTCATTAACAATAGTGACATCTGTTTTACGTCGGTCCATTATCGTGAAGCTGAGAAAGCATCGTAGTAACAGTACGAGACGACGATTTCAGCTGATTTTAGAGTGCTCGCAAGAGACATTGCGACATAACGACGTCATGCACCGCATGATAGATGATTCAGGTAGACTACGGTCGAATCTCGGTGGGAAATTTTAGTGTATCCTATAAAGTTCACTTTACTACTCTCGTAACGTTCATTATTCGTCTTCATAAAGATGAACACCAACCAATCAATCTTTTCTTGCTTTCAATGCATTTCGAGTTGAAAAGTTTATAAAAGAGAATTTCTTTTGTCTTTCTGAAATTATTGGGCAGAGCATCTGTTTGCAACTCTCTTTCGAGGATTTTTTTCCTATATTCGCGAATGTCGATTAAAAGAAAAATTTAAAAAATAAAAATGATATAGACATAAAAGTTAGAATTACATCGGATGAAATTTAACGGACGTGTAAAATTAATGAAAGGTAACGTATCACAATCGATTTCTTCCCTTTTCCGCATATAACATTCATATTTGTGACAAGATAAATGAACATGGTTATATTTCGCGAATACGTATGAGATAATATATTTTGTTGACGTGTTTTATCCACATGTTTTGTCGACGTTCGTTCACATTGCAAATTAAACGACTGTGCCACTCGAAATTCTCATTTTCCAATAAGCATAGCTAATTAAAGGTCGGTACATAAATATTACACGCGTGCTGTTCCGCATTCGTTAATGCACATTATAATATATTTTCTGTTTCATTTTATTGCATTTCTGTTGTAACATATTAAAATTAATTATAGAGGATACGTCGTTGCCCGCGCGCGACTGACCAGTCGTCTGCCCGTTGTAATTACAATAAAACTGTTATTAAATTTAAATCCGATTCAACAAAGTTTTCAATAAACGATACATATGCGTTATTTGCCGCGCGAAATACGTAATAACAGAATGGGGAGCTTCAGATATAGTATAGAAAATAATATATATTGCTTGCTTTCTTGCTGGGGATAAATTCGAATTCGAGTTTTATTTACATTCGTTGGTGTGAAAATTTTTCATTCACAATGTAGATGTCATTCGTGAGACTCTTTGGGGAAAAAATGTTAAATCTCGCTTTAGGTGTTGCAATTTCTGTACAAACATTACATGTTTATCTCGATCTCCTTTTTCATAATAATTTTTGAAAAATAAATTCTTGCATTTTTATTCTATTTCTTTTTTTCCTAAAAATATATATTCCTTTATGCAATACGTATTTTATGCACGCGATAAGAGAAAAAAGTATTGATAAAAATATTTGATATGCAAATATATTTTATGAAGATATGTTGAATATTAATACGTTTTTTAAGACATATATATTTCGTATAATATTTTCTATAAAAATATATATACTACATATACAAAATATCCACCTTTTGTAATTTTGTAATTTTATCCATTTTTTTTAATCATTATCTAAAATGTTTATTAAATCACCTATTTTCTAATTTTTTTATTTCATAAAATATTTTATACTTTTGTGTTATATTTTTCTTTTTATATTGAAAAAAATAGTTTCGTTTGTCTGTACACTTTATCGTGATTTCCGTTTCAATCCTATTCCATTATTCATGATCCTGCCGAATCGAACTGTATCGATTTAGGGACAGAATGTGCATTCGATTTTACGTCACATAAGATTTTAAACTGAAGATCATGCAGAATAGATCTATCTGAATATTTGAAAATGTGGATAGTAGAATACGAAAAAGGGATACGACACGTCGTATTCTCACGGCTATGCTTTTAGGGCGTCGGAAGAAATTGTGTGAGAGAATAATGGCGTTGTCACTTAACATCAAAGTGATGTAAATCGATGCTTCGTGGCGGGATATAATGTATATGATATATCGATTATATGTAGGCGGCGAAATTCCTTTCGACGTCTAGAGAGGCACTATATTTTTTACCTTATACATGTTTAAAAATGTATACCTTTATATCGTTACTTTCTACTTTTTTCTTCTAAAGTTATGGAAATATATAATCACATATAAAGAAATTATTTATTTTATATTTCATGCTAACTTTTTATGATGCAAAAGTATTTTGGAAAAAAGGAACGTTATTAATAATTATTTTTACAATTTTAATTCAAAATTATTAATTTTATATGAAATATGAATTATGTACTAATTATAATACATAATGAGAATACAAATAATTAAATAATAATAATTATAGAAATGACAAAAATACATAAATTTATTTTACATTTATAAATAACATATTTTCGAAAAAGAAAGTTCTTTTCCAGAAAGTATATAATCATACATTATAATATAATATATGAAGGAAAAAAATTATAGAAATAATTCACATATACATGTATCTTCAGAACAATCAAATAAATTTACAATCGATATTCGATAACGATGCATGTACCAAATGCCAATGACTAAAACAATTATCTTGTTCCAGGACGTTTAATTCTGTGATTTGTGATCATTAAGTGTGTAATTAACAGCCGCCCGTTGGCCGCGAGATTTCCCGATCTTCGTGTTCGTCGGAATGTAATTTGTCGTACAAATGCGAAACGTTGCCCGCGGCATGCTCGTAGCAGGCGATTATCCGTGAAATCGCGGCGATCGTCGAGGATATCAACAACCCCGAACGTTTGAGGATGTCGCGTTCGAACAAACGAGATTCGGACTCGGAGCAAGGGACGGGAAACGAATGAGATGCTATTTTGATGGCGAAAAAAATGGGATGTAACGGCTGCGTGCACGTGCTTGTAGGATACGTGTTCCACGTTCTCGTAATGGCCATTTCTGCACACTGCGCGAATGCACGCATCGATCAATAAAGAGCGATTGCCGCCGCAGCCTTCCGCACCTCGCACTCATCGACTGCCGACTGTACATGTACGGATGTGCCAGAAGCGAAGCTGGATAGAAAGCGAGAGATGAGAAGGAGAGGATTCTCTATGGGATTATTCGTCTCTCGGGGCTCCCGGTTTATGGCGGTGCCAAACCCGACGTAACTGTCGTGCAAATGGCCCATTTGTATTTTTTTCCTTTTCGACAAGTGAAGAAAAAACGTACTTTTTTATATTGTAGTATTCCGTTTTTATCTCTGTTACCTAATAATAATTTAATTTTTCTTCTTTTTATTCTTTTTTCATCGCGTTGAACTTTTATTTCTTTATCTTTTATAGACGCATATTTTTACTTCAGTTTATTTTCATATTTTTGTAGACCCTTCCAGAGTGAACTTGTTTATTTTTATTCGTCATATATCTCCCAGACTATTTTAGAAGACTGACGAATGGTTTTATGTGAATTAAAAAGCGAGGGTTTCGTGATCCTTCGGGCGTGAAACTGCGCGTTTAAAGATTTCGAGAATCACGCGAAAGCAAATTGTTTTCGCCTGGGGGAGAATTTTCTGTTTGTACGACTGCGAATCGAGTTGTATATATTTGCGATCAATAATAGTATTACTACCTTTTATAATAGATAAGGGTAACGGATTCTTTATTGCCATTATCGTTGACAGGATTAAAATATGCTTTGAGGAAAATGGTAGTGCGAACGGGGTCTCAAGGTATCATAATAACGTATCATAAGTTTGACAATAAATAATCCAGCTATAAGCGAGCTTCCTTCTCTCTTCTCCCAAGACGAAACCATTAAAGCGATTGACTTCATTGGTATGCCAGAGCACCTGCGACACATTAAAACCCGTATTTTCGTCGCACATTTAGCACTAAATATGAATTCTGCATTTGATTCATTTAATAATTAAATAATTGATAAACGTAATAGTGTAAATATAAAGATAATAGAGATAAAGATAAAAATAAAAATAAAATATAAAGATAAAAATATATAAAGATAAAAATTAAAGATGTATAAAGATAAAAATTAATTAAAATTGGAAAAATTTTTTACGATATATATTTTACAACATAGATGTTTAATAATTTTTTAAACAATATTATAATTAATATTCGTATTACATATCAATATATCATACAAATTCTTTCACATCGCGTAGAAATATAAGATATTGAGAACACACTATATACAACTGAATTAAATTTTGATATTGAAATAAATATAATTATTTCAGTGTTTTAAATTAATTAT